GTTAAGGTGATCCTTTAAGATCCTTTTTTATTCATTCAGTGCATTTGATAGAGCTTTGAATAGTGATTTCAGAACCGTTTTTAGTTTTTCCAATGGAAATCTGTGTCGCAAGATATCTGGCATCAAAGTTTAAGACTCGAAATCTGACAATATTTCAACCCAATTCCCAAAACTAGACGCTAGCTAGTCCAGATTTACCTCCAGACCACATCTGTGGTCTGGAGGTAAGTCTGGACCAAAATCCTTTTGGTTGAACCAACCAGAAGAATCCTGGTTCGGTCCCCGCGCTCCAACTCTTCTTGCTTTAAAAAAAATTGATTAGCAAAGCTCTGAAATAATTAACAAACAAAAACAACTAACAGCTGCGAAAATCGACCTAAACTTTGATACCAGATATCTTGTGATACAGGGCTCCATTGGAAAAACAAAAAGCGAATTCAGAATCTCCATTCAAAAGCTCGATCAAATGCACTGGGTGCGCATCAAGAAGGCCACCTTGGCCTGGTACCTTTCCCTAGTAAATAGCTTTTGAACAACAGCTTTAACCTCTAGACATTTCTTGTTTTCAAGATCTGACATCACAATTGTTACCTGTAGTTTACGAGATCTTTTATAAGACTAGAAGATTACTTCAGCAGATTGACATTAATATAAAAACTGTAGCATTTCTTTGCACAGATTCTATAAATTCTGTTTGATCAAAAACACTATAAGCCAATCATCAATTTTTTTTATAAAAGTAGATTGGTAATCAAGTTTTCTCCGGATTCCCACGTGTGGAAACTCTCAAGAATTTGAGTCAACAAGGAAATCAAAGAAAATCAAAGATGAGATGTCCTCAATGATGAAAATTCGCCATCAAAGCGCTATAAACATCTTATAAATCGCCTATAAATCGTCGAAAATTCTCTAATTTTAGCCGACTTTAGTTTTTTCCAATGAGAGAAAACCCGATTTTGGTTTATCTTTTTCTCGTAGTTGATGTCAGATTATTCTTAAGAGAACTAGGTTTTCTTCTTGACAACAACAATACAAAGTTTCTAAGAGTTTCTAAACGAGTTTCGGGAATTTGGTTTATATTAAATTGACTCATAAGCTTAAGACTAAGCACTACCAAATAAAATTAGCAATAATATAAGGCTAAGCTAGGTTCAACTTCGCTTAGGCTATGCTAGGTCCAGCCTCGCTTAGGCTTGGCTAGGTCCAGCTACGCTTAGGCTATGCTAGGTCCAGCTTCGCTTAGGCTTGGCTAGGTCCAGCTACGCTTAGGGTTAGCTAGGTTCAGCTTCGCTTAGGCCTGGCTAGGTCCAGCTACGCTTAGGCTTAGCTAGGTTCAGCTTCGCTTAGGCTTGGCTAGGTCCAGCTACGCTTAGGCTTAGCTAGGTTCAGCTTCGCTTAGGCTTGGCTAGGTCCAGCTACGCTTAGGCTTAGCTAGGTTCAGCTTCGCTTAGGCTTGGCTAGGTCCAGCTACGCTTAGGCTAAGCTATAATCATCTTCTCGTCGAAAATTTCCTAATTTTAGCCGACTTTAGTTTTTTCCAATGAAAGAAAACCCGATTTTGGTTTATCTTTATCTCGCAGTTGATGTCAGATTATTCTTAAGAGAACTAGGTTTTCTTTTTGACAACAACAATAAAAAGTTTCTAAGAGTTTCTAAACGAGTTTCGGAAATTTGTTTTATGTTAATTTGACTCATAAGCTTAAGAATAAGCACTACCAAATAAAATTAGCAATAATATAAGGCTATGCTAGGTCCAAAGCTTGGACTTTTTTGAGCTAGGCAGCCCTAGACTGATCTAGACCTTTGGTAAAATCGAGTTTCCGAAAATCCAGTACTTTTGAGCACAGTATGACATTTAGTGGCTAGTATGATTAACAAATCAATCAACAAGACTTACATTGGCTGAAGTTGTAGCTGATTTATCCGATCTAAGGACTGACTTAGGCTCTGTTTAGTAATAGAATCTCTATTTCAATGGTACAAGCTTTATCCATTGAGAAACTCATCCAAATTGACTGACGATCACAGAATTTTCTCGGCTTTCTTTGATTTTTGGCCTTTTGAAAGAATTTGTCTTTTGAAAATATGATTTTTGGCCAAAAAAACGGATTCCCGATTTGTTTCTCTTTTCCTTTTAAACGTTTTTATATATTTATTCCGTTTTCAAACTTGTTTTTAATAATTTTTCATTTTTCATTTTTAATATCATTTTAAATGAGAAACTTGTTAATTTTCGAAAGTTTAAATTTCCTTTCATCAAAATACTCTAAAATAATTGATTAGCAATAGCTACCGTATCGTGAAGTCAGACAGAGTACCGGGTACACGGAAAACTGTGCCAGAGTCCAAGTCTACGACTTAAGTTCTTTTTTTGTATCAACAAGACTATAATAGGCTTACATAGAGGCATTTTTCTAAATCTTTCATCAAAATACTCTAAAATAATTGATTTTTCGTGAAGTCAGACGCAGTATCAGGTACACGGGAAACTGTGTACTGTGCCAGAGTCCAAGTCTACGACTTAAGTTCTTTTTTGTATCAACAAGACTATAATAGGCTTACATAAAGGCATTTTTCTAAATCTAGTCATCTTTTATGGCTAAGCATCAGCTTCTTAGCCAGTAATTTCCCCGGGCTTAAGAAAAAGACGGAAAACGTTTTCCACCACACCAACAATCGTAACGGAACTAAAATTAGCAATATTGAGGGGATTTTGCGCTTTCCAAGCTTATCCAAGTCTTTTCACATGTTTGTGCATTTTCGAATCTAAACGAAAATCTGTTGAGAAGGGAAAGTTAAGTTAAGCAATCTCTCAGTTTTCTATTGATTTTTGATCGAGAAGCACCAAATCCGTGTTTATCTCGACCAAAATAACCAAATTTGAAAGGAAAAGAAGAAGAAGAAATTTTTCGTCGTAGAGGGGAAAATTCTCTTCCAGGAAAAAAGGAAATGATCAGAGTTTAGAAAAGGATTTCAAGGGGAAACCTATGGGTTTTCGTGGGGGAAAGTGATGATGTAGATCTGTTTGATGTTAGGTTACTGTAGCTAGGGGAGATCTTGTAGTTTTTTGGTATTCACTATGAGTGGAGTGCTTTCTAAAAGATGCCAAAAAAGATACCGTAGTCCAATGACTCGTACACAATGTCTATTGTACTTCAATAACTGCCGTACTTCAATAGCTACCGTACTCCAATAGCTACCGTACTTCAATAACTACCGTACTCCAATGTCTATTGTACTTCAACAACTGCCGTACTTCAATAACTACTGTACTTCAATAGCTACCGTACTCCAATGGCTAGCGTACTCCAATTGCTAGCGTACCCCAATGGCTAGCGTACTCCAATAACCACCGTACTCTAACAACTACCGTACTACCGTTTACCGTAAACTAATCAATCAAACTAAAAGATTGACAAACGTTAAAAAGACCAGAGACAAGATTTTTAAAGATTACGATCATCCGGATACGGTAACTTTTCCAAGTACACCTTTTAAAAAAACGGATTTATCATTGAGATTGTGAACTAGGAAATTTTGCTGTATCAAGTCGAAGATAATTGAATTTTGTAGCAACACAGCTAATTACATAGTAAAAAGTACAAGCTATAAAAGTTTCTAAAAGAATCGAAATCCTTTCCCACTTCATTTTCATCTCAAATGTGTTCCCTGAGCACTCGAACTCTTCACGATCAACAATTTTTTGAAAAAAACTGCCCGAAAGGATCATTTTTCTAATTCCGACAATAATCCGTAGTTCAGTGAACGTAGTAGGAAAACAATCGTAAAAAAAAAAATAAGCTGAACCTGGGCTTTGTATAAATTGCAAAAAGATTCAACATCCGGTCATAACATTGTTAAATCCCGAAAAATTGCTCATATAGCCTCGCTGTTTGGTCACCGATTTGGCTTGCGTTAAGTAGAGAAGAGAAAAACTTCTGGAAACTCTTTTCTCGTTACATCAAACATCGTTGGATCTTTGGATTAATCCAAATCCTCTTATTTCTCTGCTAAGCATGTAAAAAAAAAAAAGAGGATCCGCCCCAGATTTTCTTTTTGAAAATCCCAGTTGTTTCGACGGCTATATAAGGATGGAAATGGGGAAGCTCGTTTACTTTCCTTTCATTTTGAAATTAGGGATCATTGAGGAATTGTCTATCAATAAATTGTTTGTTAAACTTTTTAGATTATTTAAAGATTGATTATTTAAAGATCTTTAACTATTGAACTTGTATTTGGACTGAATTTTGAAGTTAAACTAGTATTCTTTATCTTTATCTATTTGTTTGTCTGTTTGTCTGTTTGTTTGTCTGTTTGTTTGTTTGTCTTTTGTGTATCGCTTTGTTTTTTTTGATTTCTTGACTTAGACTTAACTCCTTTACTTCCTTTCCTTTGTACTTTTCTTTGATTTTGAATAATAATGAAGATAATTGAGGACTTGTCTATCAATAACTTGTTAAACTTTACATAGATCTTTCATAGATCTTTCATAGAACAATTTAAAGATCTTTAACTATTGAACATGTACAAGTAACTTTGAAGTTAAAGCAGTATTCTTCGTCTTTATCGATTCGTTTATCTTTTTTATTTCTTCATTTAAACTTGACTCCTTTAGTTCCTTTCCTTTATACTTTCCTTTGATTTTGAATGATAGTGAAGATAATTGTTGATGACTTGTCTATCAATAACTTGTTAAACTTTTTATAGATCTTTCATAGATCTTAGAACAATTTAAACATCTTTAACTGTTAAACTTGTACAAGTAACTTTAAAGTTAAAGCAGTATTCTTTGTCTTTATCTATTTGTTTGTCTTTTTTATTTCTTCATTTAAACTGGATCCTTTTATTTGCTTTCTAAAAGATGTCATTTAGATGAAAAGTATCGTAAACCTAGTTCAAGACTTTTTTAAATAATATTCTAAACAAAAACCTAATTTAAATCTTATTGTAGGGTTAAAGATTGACCTTAAAACCCTTAAAATTAAAGCTGACATTTCCAGATGCTACACATTGCTCTACTTATTCTTTTACGATATGTTGAAGAGACAACTTCGAGTATCTGCCAATCACCTCCATCCGCTGATCACCCAAATATTATCGTTTTAATGGTCGACGATTTGGGTTTGCTGGGGGAAATTTGGAAACGATTCAAAGAGAATTTCAGGTTATGGAGACATTCAATCGTACGGTCATCCGACCCAAGAAAAGAATGAATTGGATCGAATGATTGCAGAGGGAACCAGATTCACACAAGCTTATTCAGCTGACAGTATGTGCAGTCCGAGTCGAGCTGGCTTTATCACAGGTCGGTTGGAAAAGTGGATCTGTATTTTGCATAGAATTAGCAATGAAAGCTTTGAGCTTAAAGTAGAAACACATCTCTTCTGACGCACCTCTTTAGTACCTGAAGATAGAAAGTATCTCCTTCTTCCTTTCTTCTTCCTTTCTTCTTCCTTTCTTCTTCCTTTCTTCTTCCTTTCTTCTTCCGCCTTTTCTTTCTTCCTTTCTCCTGGCAAGGTATGGGATAGCCCAGTGGTTAGAGCAATTGCCTGAAGCAAAAGATCGAGGGTTCAATCCCCTTACTTTCTTTTAACAATTCCTTTACTTTTTATTACAGTACTAGTGAAAGATAGTATTTTTAAGCTTTCTAAGACTTCTAGGGCTTCTAGGGCTTCTAGTGTGCTATTTTTATATACTAATTGGCTATCTCTAGGTCGATTACCGATTCGACTGGGTGTGACAGGCGGAGCTCGCGTTTTTATCCCGCAAGACGTCGGCGGTTTGCCGAAACACGAGAAAACGATGGCCGAAATGCTCAAAGATGCCGGTTTGTTGAAGAAAAAATTGAAGCAAAAGCTTTCAATCTTATCCTTTAGGCTATGCAACGGGTATGATTGGTAAATGGCATTTGGGCATTAATGCGCATAATTCCACCGATGGATCGCATTTGCCGTCGAGGAGGGGATTTGATTGGGTTGGGCTGAATATGCCATTCACGAACACGTGGGAATGTGACACTTCACAGGTGAGTTTTTTGGGAAAAGAAAAGGCTTAGCAATCTCGGCTTAACAATAACAATCTTAACAAAATTTAGAAGTTCTCCTTTTATGGTCCAAACTCGACTTTGTGCTTTTTGTATGAGGGAGATGAAATCGTGCAACAGCCTGTCGATTTCACGCATATTACGGACAACTTGGTGCACGATTGGAAGCGCTTTTTAAGGCTGAGGATGCTGAAGGTTTGCGTTTACTGGCTCGATATTCTAGTGCTTTTTGCAATTGCAATTCTGTGCAATAACGGATTTCGTAATTGGGAATCCGTAAGCAGAAATCCGGAAGCAGAAATCCGTAAGAAGAAATTCGGAAGGAGAAATCCGGAAGGAGAAATCCGTAAGAAGAAATCCGGAAGCAGAAATCCGTAAGCAGAGATCCGTAAGCAGAAATTCGGAAGCAGAAATCCGGAAGCAGAAATCCGGAAGGAGAAATTCATAAGCAGAAATTCGTAAGCAGAAATCCGGAAGCAGAAATCCGGAAGCAGAAATCCGGAAGGAGAAATCCGGAAGGAGAAATCGGGAAGCAGAAGTCCGGAAGCAGAAATTCATAAGCAGAAATTCGTAAGCAGAAATCCATAAGCAGAAATCCGTAAGCAGAAATCGGGAAGCAGAAATCCGGAAGCAGAAATCCAGAAGCAGAAATCGGGAATGTTATTGTGTCAGTACAGTAATCCGGTTCGAAATGTCTTACTTGAGTACAATAGCTCACAGTGACTTTGAGAGTTTACTATAGTTTAAAGCAACTCTTAATCATTGCTTACAATTTTCAGGATCAACAAGAAAAACCATTTTTCTTCTACTTCTCCTTCCCACACGTGCACTCGGCGCAATTCGCGAATGCACGATTTTTAGGATCATCGGTTCGAGGTATTGATGTTAAGCAAACAAAGATTTTTTGGGGAATAAATGATCGGCTCGATCTTTGAGTCCATATTTGAAAAAGAGAAAGAGTGGGGGAGTCAATTTCTTTTTCCAAAAGAAGACATATGTTTTCCTTTCGTTCGTCATTCATTGTGAGAACTCTCACCAATATCTATTTCAAAGGCACAGAGCTCATTTCTCTTTTTTTTTGCTTTTTTCGAGTTCTTGCTAAGATCCTAGGTTTTTTTGGAACTATTGCAAAATTGGGGAAAGAAAAAATCGCTTTGAAACTTTGGAACTTTGGAACTTGAAGGGATTCTTTAAGAATTGGGTAATTCATTTAAATTCTCATCTAAAAATCCTTTCAAGCATTTTGAATAAAAGATATTCAAGCAAGAGATCTGATTAAAGCACTCTGAATCAATTTTATCGAAATCCTACTGTAAAAAGTGCCTTTCCAAGGCTCAATTCTTCATTTCCAATTCAATGTCGAAACAATTGTACTAACGAAAGGCAATGATAACTTTCCATCTAATATTTTTGCTCTAATAACAACCATCATTCATTACTTTTTAGAATCACTGTAGCTTTGAACGATCAAATCACTTTTTCACCTAAAAGTTCACCCATTTAGCTGATCAACGCAGCAAAAAAAATAGTGCAAAATCCACTTTTCTCAATGTTCAGTTGAAAGATCTCTCATTTTTGAAAATAAATTGTTGACGCTTGCATCTATGACATATTAATCCTTGGGGAAATCATCTTATAGCGGTAGAGTGCAGTTGATTGGGCCATTAAGAGAACATCCGTTTGAAAAAGAAGGTGAAAAAGACGGTGAAAAAGGAGGCGAAAAAAAGAGTCAAGCCGATTGTCCTTCAAATATTTTGCCGAGGATTACGGTTGAAAGCCGATTGGGTCAAGAGAGAAATGTACTTGGGGTAGTGATCGGAGAAAGTGCTGATGGGGTTCAGAAGATTCAAGGAGGAAAAAGAACTTTTATTATTTAGGACTTTACGGAGACAATATCAATGAAATGTCTTGGGCGGTCGGGCAAGTGCTTGATTCGTTGGTGGAATATGGGATCGCGAGAGAGGTGAGGGGAGAAAGCTGGATCTGGAAACCGGATCTGGAAATCTGGAGCTGGAGATCTGAAGCTGGAAATCTGGATCTGGAGATCTAGATTTGGAAATCTAGTTTTAGAGATCTGGATCTGGAAACCGAATCTAGAAATCTGGTTCTAGAAATCTGGTTCTAGAAATCTGGATCTAGAAACCTGGATCTAGAAATCTGGATCTAGAACTCTGGATCTAGAAATCTAGTTTTGGAGATCTGGATCTGGAAACCGAATCTAGAAATCTGGTTCTAGAAATCTGGATCTGGAAATCTGGATCTGGAGATCTAGATTTGGAAATCTAGTTTTGAAGATCTGGATCTAAAAACCGGATCTGGAAATCGGATCTGTAAATCTGGATCTGGAAATCTTCAGTCTCGGATTTTGAAAGCTTTAAATGCCAGTGCCAGTGCCAGACTTGAATTACAATAACAAGTAGATCTTGGTTAGCTTCGATTACTCAAAGATCTTATAAGTTTCGTATCTCGCAAGTTTCCAAACTCTCTTTCTATCCGTGTAACCACAGAAACAGATTCTAGCGTTAACTGTTAACTTTGTAAAGTTAAAACTCTGTAAAACTGTTAACTCTGTAAACTGTGAAGACTTTGTAAAGCTACAGTTTAGTCAATCCTAAAGATTAAAGTTTATTTTTGACAAATTCAAGTAGATTTTGAAACGAATAACTTAACTTTGTAGCTTTACAAAGTCTTCACAGTTTACAGAGTTAACGAAAATAGAAGCCTGGAAAAAAGTTTGATTTTGATAAATTGTTTGACCGTTTGATAAATAATAAAAAAATGAAATCAGAATTTTTTCTAATTACAGTACATTTTATCTAGATTTAATTCCATCTAAAAAGCTTGAAAGGGATTAAAAAGCTTGAAACGAATTATTGAAGATGTTCTCTGATGTTTAACTTTTTTTAGACATTAGTGATTTTGATGAGCGATCACGGACCGCATCAAGAATTATGTTTAAATGGGGGATCGACCGCTGGATTGAAAGGTTTAAGAAAAAAAATTGCTTTTGGTGAAAAATGATGTTATTAGGCGGGAAATCGAACAGTTTTGAGGGCGGCTTTCGGATTCCGTTTGTGGCCTGGCAACCGGGAAGTGTGCCGGTTTGTTTTTCTGTTTCAAATGGCTTTTGATTTCTCTGATGAGGCTTTTTGATGAGGCTTTTCACGAATTCCTAGAAGAAATGAAGATCAAAAGCTTTTCGAAGAACTTATTTATCTCATCAGAAAGAAGCTTAGCAACCATAAACAGCTTATCAGAACAAGACAAATCCCAATGGATTTTTAGATGGATTTTTATTTGATTTCAGGCTGGTCGAGTGAGTCATGAAGTGGTCAGCAGCATGGATTTATATCCAACATTCCGAAAAATGAGCATGTGCGAATATGAGGTGAGAAAATGAAGGGGGAGAATTGAAGAGGAACTTTTCTCGCCCGGGAGATCGTCCAGCCATAGCTCAGTTGGTAGAGCGGAGGACTGTAGGGCGAGCAGCTATCCTTAGGTCACTGGTTCGAATCCGGTTGGCTGGAACTTTTTTTGTCGTTTAGTTTATTAGGCTGCAAGCATCGTGAAGCATAATCTAGCGTAACCTTGCGTAGTCGTAATCTAGTGTAGTCGTAAGCTAGCTTAGTCGTAATCTAGCATAGTCGTAAGCTAGCTTAGTCGTAATCTAACGTAGTCGTAATCTAGCATAGTCGTAATCTAGCGTAGTCGTAATCTAGCATAGTCGTAAACTAGCTTAGTCGTAATCTATCGTAATCCGTTACTCTATCGAATTTTACAGCTCAGTTAGCTGATAAAGTCTTTTGTCGTAAAGACTACTGTAATCTCTAACTTGGGTTACGGTAAGGATAGTCCAGGATCCAGATTATGGTAGCTGGGGACATTTTAGTTGTCAAAGTCAATCACCTGTTGATAACCATTTGAAATTTCAGCCTCCACAGCTGCCCAATGACGGAACAGATATTTGGGACGAGTTGCGCGGGATCAGCACCGAGAAACAAGGATGGTTGGGCGCAAAACGACCGATCTACTTCTACTGTAACACGCATTTGATGGCGATTCGCCTCGGAAACTATAAAGTTCGTTGAAAATGAAAGATGAAAGATGAAAAGAGTTCTCTAAACACGAATTAGTCGAATCAGCACCATTTGGCCTATTGTTTATCCTTTTACAAGAGTTTAGGTTCACTACAAAACCTCTCCGATTTTCCTCAACAGCACCAGTGATCCGAATTTGGCCTATTGGTGTCCCGGCGGAAAACCCATCGATGATTGGTGAGCGAATTTTCGCAAATTTTGAGGTTTCCATTAAAGAAAAAATACGTAATCAACAAACTTAAATCTATAAGAAACCATAGAAAAATTTGGCGATGAAATTTACGAAATTTCGAGTTCTAGAAGCCCCTTAAACATCAAAATTTGGATTTGGATTGGCACTGGAAATAGTTTGAATCTCTGGGAAATTGGAAACATCAAATTTTTCTCGTTATACTTTTGAGTACACAAAAAAACTAGCAAAACAAGTTTTGATTTGCGTCCGCCATTCACTGGTTTTGTAAAAAGTGTTCCAGCTAGCTAGCTCCAGTAGCTAGTTAGCTCCAGCTACCGTAGCTAGTTAGCTCCAGCTACCGTAGCTAGCTAGCTCCAGCTACCGTACCTAGCTAGCTCCAGCTACCGTACCTAGCTAGCTCCAGCTACCGTACCTAGCTAGCTCCAGCTACCGTACATAGCTAGCTTCAGCTACCGTACATAGCTAGCTTCAGCTACCGTAGCTACCGTAGCGTGCCAAGATTCGAGTTGCTTTTGCGGATTTGAAGTCATCTAGTTGATTGAGGCACTGAAAAGATAAATAATTGATGATAAGAAGATGTGGAAAGGTTTAAGGACTTTGTAATAAACGTTAATTTAACTCTAGAAACCCTAATTTTACTCGATTTTACTATTTTACTTTAGAACTTCCAGGAAAACCTTAAAATTGCAGGTACGTCTCTCAAAAGTGCCCATCCGAGCACTTGACCACTCACAATCCGCCATTGATCTACGATTTGAAACAGGATCCGTATGAGCTTTATCCACTTGAAGACAATGAATTCTCCGAAGAGGTGAGGGGATTTGATGAGAATATGAGACTTTTTTTGTATCGGGAAAAGGGATTTGAAGATCCGGTGGTATTAGACAGGGTTCAGTGCTCAAATTGATGGGGAAAGATGATGGGGAAAGATTGATGGAGATTCTTGCAACGGAAATCTTTCTAACATTTGTAGACACTTAGATGATCCCCGATTACATTTCAAAAAAAAGAGATTAATGTTGCAAAAATCGGAAAGAAATTGAAAGATTAGCTTTCCGGTACGAGCAAATTTGGTGCAAATGAGGGAAAGAATTTACTGACGTTAGCAGTTTAAGTATGCTTACGGTAAGTGGTTAAAAAGCTGAAAAATAAGCTAAGAAACTAACAAAAAAGGTCAAAGATTGTTTTCTAAAAGAAAATTTGAGTATTCAAGCTCAATTCAGACACGAAAATCTGCTTAAATTATGGTAGTTTTTTGGCAAAAAGATTACTCAAAAGTAAACTCAATTTCAGACGCTAAAAAGTGTCATAATGATTACAGTAACTCCAACTGTTTATACCGTATTTTCTCTAATAGTAGTGCACCCTGAGCGTCGCCTAAATTGCTCGAAATCTCGAGAACCGCTTATCAGAACCTATCGATGTGGGGTCGGAGAATGTAGTTGACGATGAGATCTTGTGGGGGATTTGAGTGTTGAGCTTCTGTGAAAACTTTGAAAGTCGTAAAATCGTCATCAACTCGGCTCGTCGCGGTGCACTACGAGAGAGAATACGGTACTAATATTAACAAGCTAAATCTGTTCACAATCTGTTTGCAGTCTAATATTAATAATCTAACCGACTGGTTAAGAGCCTTGTATCTGAGCTCTGAGTTCTGAGTCTGAGTCTGAGTCTGAGTCTGAGTCTGAGTCTGAGCTCTGAGCTCTGAGTTCTGAGCTCTGAGTCTGAGTCTGAGCTCTGAGTTCTGAGCTCTGAGCTCTGAGCTCTAAGTTCTGAGTCTGAGTCTGAGTATCTGAGTTCAATCCCGGCTAGATCATTGGCTCTTTGTTTCTTTAATTTTAGGCTTAACGGCGGTTGTGTATTGTTTGTATGTTATTCGTGTAAATGCATTCTTTATCAATAAGATTCCAGATTCGACGAGACGCCTTGAGCTTTTTAAAGCGACACCGAGAATCCCTGGTGAAAGTACCGCAACAACTTGGCAACTTTTCGCACTCAGTACTTCCCTGCTGTGACCCTCCATTGTGTCAATGTGATAAGATCAAAAATCGGCACACTGAGAGCCATAAAGAACTCGTGAGTCACAACAACAATCGTGTCCGTCATAGACTCCATTAGAGTGTCGTGGATCCGCTCTTTCCCTTGGTTTTCTTTTGTTTTTGACTTGAAACGATCGTTTAGTGCAAAATCGGGAATGATTACGGTAGAAGGTTACGGTAGAAGGTTACAATTACAAAAGTTACACAGTAAAATGGTAACTGCAAAGACGCTACAGGAACCCTTTACAAAAAGAAGACTATTCAATGAATTGCAAAGAATTGCAAGAATTCCCTTTTTTGCATTAACTTGATCGATGAAGCAAGTCAATAGTTTAGTAGCAGTCTAGTCGTTTACTGGTAACTGTAGAGACGTTACAGTAGCCCTTTATTTTCCCCAAACCCGATGGCCTTTTTTTTGTCTCTAATTCATGGCCGAGTCTTTCCCTTTTTTTTTTGTTCGTTTTGGGTCACATTTTAGTTTATTTTCCTCTAGTTTTTCTAATTTTTGTTCTTCTAACCTTAGAAATAATTGCCTAAAAGAGTTGTCAGTTGAAGAATTTTCTCTTTTTTTTTTCAGCGAGATAACCGTCGGCACAGCAATGCCCTCCAAATGCTTGGTTTGGGGCATTTGATGAATCGGTTGGGGTTCGATGAGACGATGAGCGTGATTTTCTAAAATGTGACCCATTTCTGGTCTTAAAAATCCCTGGGTATCTAGGTGAATAGTTTTTAAGATCGAAAAAGAAAGCTGTTAGAGGTACAGTACTGGAGAATGAAATATCTCACTGAAAAACGATCGTCACTTTCGCAGGTCTGTAACTTCCTTGTCTTTGAGTTTAAACTATTAGTGTTATACATTTTCTGAAAGCTCTTTTCAAGGGCTACACAATGGTAATATTAATATCTACAAATACGGTCAAGACAAGGGAGTTGCTGACGCGCGAAAGTGACGATCTTTTTTCAAATATCATATTTCATTGTCAAGTAGTGTAGTTTGAAAGCTACTGTAACTTGTTGGGACAACAAGACAAGGCTTCCGTAGCCAAATCTAATTCCAAATCCAAATCTAATTCCAAATCCAAATCAAATTCCAAATCCAAATCAAATTCCAAATCCAAATCTAAAGCCCTTTCAAGCGAGCTTTGTGCTTTCTCTGAAACTGGCCTGTTCAGCTAGGGCAAAATGCGTAAATTTTCAGAGCCTCCAGCCACAACTTTTTGTCCCACTCAAAAAGGAATTGATCAACGAGATTTTATTAGATAATAATCTGTAAAAAAAACTTTCTATGCGCATGAGAAATGGCATGAAATTCTTTCCGAATAAAGATAATAGCAAAAAATAAAAGAAAAACTTCAATTTGTTGTGCATGAGGCTGGAAACTTTGTGAGCATGAGGCTGGAAACTTTAAGCAAAATTTGATTGATTCTCGACGAAGTGAACTCTGTTGGTAAACAGAAACTTTCTCTATCTAGTGCATTGAATTCCCTATTTTCTGGAATTTTCATCGTTTTCTCCCAAATTGCATAAAACCCCATGTGCCAGATAGCAAAAGTTTACGTCTGCCAACAAAGTTCACCTGAACTTTGTTTGGAATTCCTCACTTTCCCGGAATTTCCCTCGTTTTCTCCCAAATTCATTCAAACCCCATGTGCCAGGTAGCGAAAGTTTACGTCTGCCAACAAAGTTCACCTTGACAATGGCTCATTTTTCGAGTCAAATTCGCAATTTTCCCTGGGAAAGCTGGAGATTTCATAAAAATTTCAAAAATTTTCATAAAAGACACATTTCTAGATCTATTCTGAGTCATATTTTCTAGTTAATAGGTGAATTTTCTTCGGTGATTTGTCGATTTTTCATTGCTTTATTTACGGTATTCGCGGGAATTTCTTTCTTTTTCACTAAACTCTTTATTTTCCTTGTCTTTTTTTTGCTTGTTTTGTTTGTTTATTTGTTTGTTTGCTTGTTTCTTTCTTTCTTTCTTTCTTCCTTTCTTTTCCTTTGCCTGAATATCTTTGAATATCGAGAATGTGAATGGCTTTTAAAAAAAATGTTGAAAATAATGTTTCGAAAAAAGGAAAAAAATGTTTTAGCGTATTTTCTCTAATAGTAGTGCACCCCGGCGAGCCGAGTTAATGACTATTTTACGGTTTCCAAGCTTTTGCAGAAGCTCAACACTCTAATCCCCCACTAGATCTCATCGTCAGCTACATTTTCCGACCCCACATCGATAGATTCAGATAAGCCGTCCTCGAGATTTCGAGGAATTTAGGCGACGCTCAGGGTGCACTACTATTAGAGAAAATACGGTATTTTCTTGCCAAAGCATGAATTTTTTCTTGTGCATGTCCGTATTTTTTTTGATTTTTTTGTCTTGTATTTCTCGAAAATTGATTTCTTTTTCTAATGATCTCTTCGAGTTTTCTTTTTCAAAATTTCTTTTGCGTACTGTGTACATAAAACTTATAAAGAAAAATTTGAGAATAAATGGTTAAAAATTTGATTTCGAAAGAGGATTGTTGAAATTTGTTGAAATTTGCATAGAAAAATCAGCAATTAGTCAAAAAAAACAGCAATTTTCTCGTTTTCTAGTCGTTTTTACAGTAATCTGATGAGTTTTCCTTTGAGATTCTTCATTTTAACATCTCATTTAAGCTTTTTCCTTTCAGAAATTCTCATTCTAAAGTTCTTAAGCGAAAAGGAGAAGTTAACGAATTGAAAATTGTGTAAAAGCTGTATAAACTGGTAAAACTATTGAACTATTGAAGATTGTTTTCGAAAATATTAGCAAAGATTTGAAGAGATTTGCATTGCTCTTCAAAGTTCTTGTTCAATTTTCTTCTTTTAGTGATTATTGTTGGTTTAGATATAATCTTTATTACAGCAATAATAGTTGGTTCAGTGGTTTGGGATTGGGAGAGTAGAGACGACTCCACGGCACCTGTCGGCAGCTCGTTCACATTGCTTTTATACGGAACTCAGGCGTTGGTCTCGTCTTGCTCACAATGGAGTTGAACGGATAGTGACGCATATTAAATCTCGCACAATAGGCGTTCGTCCACATAGGTGTCTAGCTGGCCATTTCCATACATGGCGATCTCGATCACGAGATCGCCACGACAATGGGATTTGACGTTAAGTAAATCGGGGAAAAAGCTGAAGAAAAGATTACGGCAGCTTTTCTAAATTATGTAGCTTTTAGAAAACAGCTTATTAAGTCAGCACATGGCGATCTCGATCACGAGATCGTCACGACACTTCTTATCAATTTCTTTCTTCTTTCTCTCTTCTCTAAATGGTTGTCTAAAAAAACGTGAAAGTCTCAAAACCACTACTTTTGTCTCTAGTTTCATCTAAATTTGAAAAGTTTTAGAAAATCCATTTACTTACAATACTTTAGTGATCTTTTTTTAGAGCAATAAGAATTTCTGAATAAGCCAACCGAGTACCTGGATCTGTTCTTGATCAACAGATAAATCAACAGACAAATCCTTTCATTTCTCTTGTCTCTTCCCATTTTTCTTTGTAGTAAACAAACGAAAACTTTATTATAAGAAAAAATGTTCAAAATTTTCACAAACATAGGAATGATAGCTTTTACGATGTGGGAGAACTGGTGACAGAAGAGGCGAGTACACAATTGAAGGTATTGTCCGATCCGACGGGGACAAAGCCAGTGCAGCAGCTCTCGTTTCGGGGATACTTGCAAACAGCCGCATTGCATCGCTCTTTCACGTAAGCCGTACTGGAATTCGAAATTTGATTGTTTCTTGAAGTAATACACTTTACAATCCTCATGCAAAACCCTGAAACCATGGTTTACCCCTGGGGCTGAGCCTGACTCAGGTTATGACCTGGCCTTGGCTTGACTGGACCTCTGTTTTGACGCTTTAAACACCTTTGCTAACAATTCTGAAAACCCAGGCCTTACCCGGTACACTTGCATGCATCTGACGGTTTCTCGCATCGTCGAAACCTTTGCCAAACTCCACACGATCCACAAGTATCCGTGCAAACAGACCACTCCTCCCATGGAGCCCATTGCGCCAGTGTGCAGTCAGGGGCGCTCGTTTCACCGCTCTAAATCGAGTACATCGTTATACCATGAATTTGCATCCAAAAAAAGCGACCCTATTCTCCCTAATAGTAGTGCACCTTGAGCAACACCTAAATTGCTCGAAACCTCGAAAACTGGTTATCAGAGCCTATTGATGTGGGGTCGAAAAATGTAGGTGATGATGAGATCTTGTGGGGGATTTGAGTGTTGAGCTCCTGTGAAGTGTTGAGCTGTATCTTAGTCGAGAGGTTAAGGGTTCAATCCCGGCTAGATCATTGGCTCTTTGTTTCGCTAGTTTTGGGCTTAAGGGTGCTTGTGTATTGTTCTCGTGCTCGTTTCACAGCTCTAAATCGAGTACATCGTATCATCCGTGTTATATCATGAATTTGTATCTAAAAGAAGCTACCGTATTCTCCATAATAGTAGTGCACCCTGAGCGTCGCCTAGATTGCTTGAAATCTCGAGAATCGCTTATCAGAACCTATCGATGTGCGGTCGGAAAATGTAGGTGATGATGAGATCTAGTGGGGGATTAAAGTGTTGGGCTTCTGTGAAGAACTTGGAAACCGTAAAATAGTCATTAACTCGGCTCACTACTATTAGGGAAACTTTCCTACTATTAGGGAAAAACGCGTTCCTTTTAAGCATACCGATTGTGTCGTTGTTGTAGTCGGTGGAGTTAATGTGGTTGTTGTCGTGGTCGTGGGCGCTGTTGATGTGGTGGTTGGGGTAGATGTTGATGTAGCTAAATGAATTTTGTAAAACTCTAACAACTACTCTAAACAAGTCGGATCTCTGATCAAAAAAGGACAGTTTTAAGCATAAGTTTCTTTAAATTGTCACTCACAAATTATCGTGGCAAGAGTCGGCGTGGTCGTTGTCGTTATGGGTGTGCTTGTAACAACGCCCGTTCCACCTAAATCGAGTCACTTTTGTGGGTAATTTTTTTCAAACTCACCAACACCACAGGATATTCGAGTGATTGTGAGTCCCGAGGCGGTGATCCATGTTTGATTTGAAGCACAAAGAATCGTTGTGTTGATCATGCCAACACCGGAAGCAAGAGGATTCCCGCTTTGATCAACGAGCCAAGTCGCATCATTAGCCTAAACTTGAAAAGGATTTCAAAAGGATTCAAAAGGATTCAAAAGGCAGAATTTCACAAGTTATTTTAAAAAAATCGAATCCTTACATTTCCACTTTGACACATCACAGTCTCTTGGGAACAAGCGTCGATTGTCGAGCTGACAGTGAGCATTCCAGGAGTGAGTGGTGTTGACGGTTGTGTGAGTTGAAGATTTGGGCACTGTTGACATGTGGCTAGAAAAAGTTATACAATAAAAAACAGTAAGTTCAATTTTACAGTTTGTTTCAATATTGATTTCAACATGGATTTTAACATTAATTTTAACATTTAAGCTAGTTCTAAAGCCAATTTGTTCATCAAACCTGAGCCCGATGTGTAGTTGATCGTTGGAAACGGGTCAGCCACTTGCCCGGGTGAAGCTGTCGGTACGGCTAGATATTGTTTTACGCTTGAGCTAAACCCAGACAAACCTTCGAGCATACAAGCAGCATTTACGATACTCAACCCAGCAGAAGCCCATGTTCCAGTCGAGCTACAGCCGATCGTTTTGTCGGTCTGAACGACATTTCATTAACCTGCGCCTGAGCCTGAGCATAAGCTTCCGATTTTTCTCACCTCTCCAACATTTATAGACAAGAAAGTCCCACCATTCACCACAATTGACGCGTTTTGATTGGTCTAAGCTTTTTTTTTTAAAGTGGATCGTTTACAAATTCTCTACCGATGTCCCCAAGCACGTAATGTCCACTTGACGACATCCATTTTGCGTGTAATGATTGAGCAAAAGAAGTCCATTTTGTTGTTGCGAATTGAGTCCGGTGAGGAAGAGAGCCTCCACGTTTGGACAAGTGCCACACAGAGCTAAATGTTAATGTTGTCTGAGAAGTTTGCTGAAAGTGGTTGGCGAATTTATAGATGGACTACTGGTATGCAAAAGCTCAGCGCTAAAAATAAATTGGCTTGGCTTATTGAAGGTCAAATGGGTACTAATCGGGGTGAAATCAAAGATGAACGAAAAACTTCGGCTCTAGAAAAGAAACCTGATTTACTCGTAGTGGTCACAGCAGTTGAGGTAGATGTTGTTGTTGTTGTTGTAGATGAAGTAGTACTTGGTGTCGTTGTAGTAGTAGTCGTAGTGGTAGTTGTTGTCGTTGTGGTCGTTGTTGTGGTCGTTGTTGTTGTCGTTGTTGCTGTCGTTGCTGTCGTTGTCGTTGTCGTTGTCGTTGTCGTTGTCGTTGTCGTTGTCGTTGTCGTTGTCGTTGTCGTTGTCGTTGTCGTTGTCGTTGTAGAGGTTGTCGTTGTCGTTGTAGAGGTTGTAGTCGTTAGAGCCGTTGTCGTTCGAGCTGTTAATACATAGTTAGCAATGGATCAGCTACTTATCACTTACATGCGACATAAACACAAGAAATGCTGTCAACAATCGTTGTCAGTTGCCCACTCGTTACCACCCATTGACTCAGTGGATTGCAATCGACGGAAAGGTTTACATTTCCGACTCCCGTTTGCAGGGTTGTGTTTTGGAAGAGAATCGAGACGAGGTTTGTTGGCTGAAATGTAGAAAAGCTTTGTTAACTTCTAGTTAGTGTTAACCTGGTTGGACTCAACGCAATCCAATAGGATTTCTAGATTGACTCTAACCAATAAGATTGACTCTAACTACAAAATCTCACCACAATTCCTTGGCAAGTGATCGCAAGCGTCGAGCAATTGTTTGCAAATCCGTTCACAAGAGTCGTTTGCCCATCGGTGAATTGGAGATCGGCTGTGGGAAGGACGGAGATTCTTGAGCATCGAGCACAACTTGCTAAATTTTAATCTGTTCGAAGTTAGCCATCATAGCCGACTGGATAAGAGCCTCGTATCCTAGCCGGGAGGTCAATACCGCCGACTCGCTTATTAACTCTTTTTTCCCTAAATTTAGGATTTAGGGGTATTGTTTGTCTCAAATTATTCGTGTGAATAAATGTATATTACAAAACCAGCATGCTTAGAAGTATATTCACTCTAGAATTTGTAAAACCCACGTCCAGTTGGTGGGGTCGTTGTCGTGGTCGTTGTGGTTATTGGAGTGATTTGAGTGACGGTTGTCAGTGTGTCGGAAATCGCTAAAAGATTCATTGAAAGAGTGATGAAAAGCACTCACGATGCCCTGCACAAATCGCTTTTTCAACTGAAATCCCATTAAAGAACCATTCGCCATTCGCGCTGCAAGTGAGCGTTGTTGAGAGCTGAGAGACAGCCTCTTGCAGGCAACCGTCACAGTCGAGCATCAGAGTAGCTGCGTCGTTTGCCTAGATTTGATAGTTGGCTGTTTGATTGAATAAAATGAATAGCTCCAATGGATTTGTCGAGCCCGAAAAGCGCCCGGTACAAATTTACAGCTAATCTTCTTCGCTTACAACTTACTTACAGCTAATTAAAGCTAATTAAAGCTAAATATCTTCCAATCTACAAAGCAAAAGAAGAATCACGAGCAAAATGCTGGCTAGATGTTCTTTGTGTGGCCGGGTAAGCGCTCTCCATCTGGCAAAACGTGCCGGTATAAAAGGTTTCCCTTTTGGGATTGCTTTTCCGTTTCTAAAATCTAAAATCCACCTGACTCGAGCACGTGATTTGCACTTGTTTACAAGAAGTTGGACTCTGCATGAAATGATCCAAAACGAGCATTCCATCGTACCATCCAGTCGTATTTACACTCGTATCAAAACCATCAGAAATATCGGAAAGTGGCTCGGCCAGCAGGTTTGAACATTCTTGACATTGTCCTAAAACTTAATTGTTGTTATTCTTGATGTTCTGCCTCACAAAGATCTACTTCTTTTTGCATTAAACAAAAGTAAAAATCGAAAAATAGGATCCTATCATAAAAACAAACCCAAATCCGATCCCTCGTAAGCACACGAGATCGACGCGATCACTTTTGTCGTCCCATTCACAACCCATTGACTCTCCGCGTTGCAAGTTGCTTGTATGCTCAAATTTCCGACTCCTTGCGTGAAAACGACTCCATCAAAAGCTATCTCCAAAGCACTTGTCGACTAGAATTTTTTTTGGCTGTAGATTGATTAGAATCTATTTTTTTTACATCAATTCCTTGACAAATCACTGTTAGAGTTGAGCAATTGTCAGAGAAACCGTTGATTAATGTTGTGAAGCCGTCAATGAAACCACTTGTGCCAATTGGATCAACGGGTAGACGGGAGCAACGAGCGCAAGTGGCTAAATGAGGTAACTGTTCTATAGAATCTTTACAAATACCAGAATTTTACTTATTGTAGTGTATTCTGTTTCCTTGGCACTTACGAGCTGCTGGTGATGGAGTTGTTGTTGTTGTTGTGGTGGGAAGAGTTGCTGATGTTGGCGAAGTTGATGAGGTCAGCGCTAAAAGAGGTCAAAAATAAAGAATGTGGCCAGGAGTCAGTCGGGCATTTGATAAGCCACGCCCCTTTTGCTATCTAACTTTGAGCTGAAATTTCTTGGTGTTAAGCTATCCAATTTCAATCGTTTTAATATCATAAGATCCGCCAAGTTTTTCTCTGTCGATTGGTACAAAAACTATTTAAACTGAACAACCCAACACCAAGAAATTTGAGCTCAAAGTTGGATTGCCAATGGCAAAAGGGACGGGGCCCGTATCAAATGTACCACAATCGAATTGGCTTAATCGAAAGTTTCAAAGCCACTTCTCGATGACTGGCCAGAACGAAAGCCAGCTCTGACCTAACCGGAAGCTCAAATGTTTATCATATTTATCGGCTAATTTTTTAAACAAACCATGTCCACCGCACATCGCTCTTGTAACCGGCATCCCATTGAACAACCATTGCCCATTCGAATTGCAGCTTAGCGTGATCGAGAAGCGAGAGATCGCCGTCTCAAAGCACCCATCGCAATCGAGCATCAAAGTGGCATCATCACCGGACTGAAGCTTTCAAGATTTGAATGGATTTGATGACAATGGACAGGAGTAAAAGGACTTTCTCTTATATCTATTGATTTATTGGGTTCATCAGCTTTAGCACTTTTAGACGCAGAAGAATGAGCTATCCGATCTCTTTCAAGTTCTAAAAGTTCGCCAACCTGTCCCGAGCAACTGATGTCAACATTTTCGCAAGAAGTTGGACTATCGAAATAGTTGTCAATGACGAGCATTCCATCGTACCATCCACTCATATTCATCGATGAAAAACCCATTGAACTAGCTTCGGAAATCGGTTTGGCCAGAATGTTGGAGCACTGTTGACATTGCCCTGAAATGGGTTTACGGTAGGTTTTAGGAATCTTTTAGATTCCTAACAGCAGAAGAAACAGCAGATTTCCTTACCAAGATCTTGTTCTTCTTGATAGTAACAGGAAATGGAAGAAAGGACAAGCGGAGGCTGACTATAGGACCATTGTTGATTGGCATTGCACGAGGCGTTGATACTGCCAGTGCCAGTGTCTAGCGCCAGTACATTCACACCATTGTTGGCAGCGATTGCAACTTGAGTGGTGGGCTGAATTAGGATTAGAAAACAAGTTCTACAATAGCTTACATCGGGTGCTTGACAGATAATAGTTATCGTTGAGCAATTGTCGGAGAAACCATTTAGGAGAGTTGTCATTCCATCAATAAAATCACTCGAACCAATGGACAAAACGGGAAGATGCGAGCAACGGGCACAAGTCGCTGAAAGATTTATGTACTCGGTTAGAAATGATTACGCACGTGTAGCCGGTGACAAAGTCGTTGTAGTGCTTGTCGTGGTGGTTGTTGTGGTTGGAGTTGTGGGCGTCAGCGTGGGCACGGTTGGTGTCAATTGGGCTAAAAAAAACCGCTTGAATTCTGCCTGCATTTCATCGTTTACTTGTTCCGATGCACATTGCTTCGGTAACAATCTCTCCATTCATCCACCATTGTCCATCTGAGGAGCAGGTCATCGAGAGGCTTGTCTCACTAGTTCCCGACTGCATACAATCCGCACAATCAAGTAGTAAACTCGCGTTGTTCCCGCTCTAAAACTTGATCTTTGCATTTTGATTGAAAATCGAATTACCTGCGTCGTGCACTTGATATCAAGTTTCCTGCAAGCTCCAGGGGCGTCTTGGTAATGATCGAGGACAAGCATTCCATCGTACCAACCGGATTTGTTGAAGCTTGGGCTGATTGTAGAAGTCGATGATGACAACGCTACAGCAAGCATGTTTGGACAAGAAGCACATTCTGAAATGAACTGGGTAAGCGCTGAGTTTTTAAAATTCACCAGTGGCACCGCTCGTTGTAGTTGTGGCTTCTGTTGCTGCAGCAGTCGTTGTTGTCGGTTCAGCAGCATCGGCAGTTGTGGTTGAAACTGCTTTCGTCGTTGTAGCTGTTTCAGTTGTTGAGTCAGCTCCGCTTGTAGTTGTTGTATCGTCAGTTGTTGTAGCTGTTTCAGTTGTAGTTGATGGTTCAGCACCACCGGCAGTTGTTCCTTCAGTGGTTGAACCTGGTGTTGAACTGCCAGTTGTTGTTTCAGTACTAGCCTCGCTCGTTGATCCACTTGTGGACTCAACACTGGTTGAAGCCATTGTTGTGGTTGCAGTTGAGCTTGACCCAGCTCCATCAGTTGTTGTTCCAGAAGTTGATCCTTCACTTGTTGATCCTTCACTTGTTGATCCGTCAGTTGTTGTTCCAGAAGTTGTTGTTCCCGAAGTTGTTGTTCCAGAAGTTGATCCTTCACTTGTTCCCTCCGTTGATGCGGCTTCAGTAGTTGTTGTGTCTCCACCCGTTGTGCTGCCATCTGTTGTTGTTTCAGTTTCTGTTGTGGTCTCTGCTGAGCTTGAGCCGGTTGTACTTGGAGCAGGCGTTGTAGTTTTAGCTTCAGTCGACAATGCAGTAGTTCCAACCGTAGTTGACTGATCAGTGGTAGTCGCTCCAATGGTCGTAGTTCCCAGAGTTGTTTCCCCAGGGGTTGTTGATTCAGCCCCAGATGTGGTTTTCATTTCTGCAGTTGTGGATCCTACAGTTGTTTCATCTGCAGTGGTGGATCCTATAGTTGTTTCTTCTGCAGTTGTGGATCCTGTAGTTGTTTCTTCTGCAGTTGTGGATCCTGTAGTTGTTTCAGCATCAGTTGTGGATCCTATAGTTATTTCTTCTGCAGTTGTGGATCCTACAGTTGTTTCATCTGCAGTTGTGGATCCTATAGTTGTTTCATCTGCAGTGGTGGATCCTATAGTTGTTTCATCTGCAGTTGTGGATCCTACAGTTGTTTCTTCTGCAGTTGTGGATCCTATAGTTGTTTCTTCTGCAGTTGTGGATCCTATGGTTGTTTCTTCTGCAGTTGTGGATCCTACAGTTGTTTCTTCTGCAGTTGTGGATCCTACAGTTGTTTCTTCTGCGGTTGTGGTCTCACCTAGAACACATTAATCACTTAAAAGCACAGAACTTAAGTTAGAAGTTAAACTCTTAATTCTTTACTTGCTGTTTTCGTAGTTTCCGCATTTGTTGTTGGTGCCTCAGTTGCCATCATTGTTGTTGGTGCCTCAGTTGTCATCATTGTTGTTGGTACCTCAGTTGCCATCATTGTTGTCGGTGCCTCAGTTGCCATCATTGTTGTTGGTGCCTCAGTTGTCATCATTGTTGTTGGTGCCTCGGTTGCCATCCTTGTTGTCGGTAGGGTTGCCGGGGATGATTCTAGAATGGATTCAATCATTTACCTCTATCCCAAGGGCCAATTTTACCTTGAGAATCCCAGAGTACACAGCTGATATTCCGAATGGTGATCCCAGTGGCTGAATCGTACCAATCACTGTCACTATCACAGGTGAATGTCCGGGCCACTTCAGCGCCAATTAGGCCTACCGTTTGCCCGTTGATGAACAAGTTGGCACTGGTGGCTCCCTAGAATTTCCTTTGGTTCTCAGAACTTTACATTGGATAAGAAGATCAGAATTTCAAAAGCAATTGAGCCAAAATGTTCATTTGACTAGAAATTGCAAACTTGCAAACTTCAAATTAATGTGGTTCCATTTTAAAGTGATAGTAAAAGTGTGGAATACATCAATCGGTTGACACGTCACAGCCACGGATGAGCAAGTTGAGGTAATGTGATTGAGTGTGGTCACTCCTTCAGCCAAACCCGGCTTCTCAACGATCAGCTTCGAGCAATTGTTGCACTTGTTTGGCGCTAAAGATTGGAAATGTTTGATTGTTGACCTGAGAAAATACCAATTTGATAGACACACGACAAGTTGGTCACCGATAGACCTGTGGCTTCATTCACCCAACCACCTAGAAACTTTGAGCATTAAAAGCCATAATGTAAATTTTGCCTGGAGATCGACACTCGAAGAGATTGGATTCGGATGGAACGGGGGATCCGGTAGAGATTTGTTGATTATTATAAGAGATCACACTGACCAAACGAGTGTCCGTTGGCTAAAAAGAAAGCTGTTTTTGAGTCGAAGTTGAATTCAAATTTGAATTTTGAATTAAGTTTTCGTTTGGGAAGACTTTTCCATAGCAAGTTTTGGCCAAGCTTAAGCCCAAAGTACTTATTGTTGGGCTATTTTGTCTAAATATTGGGTTGGTGAATTGAAAACTGCCAACTATTGTCATATGTAAGAGTTTGAGGACTTTCTTCAAAAGAAACCCTTTTTGGTGTCAATGGAAAAGTTGTAGAGAATCAAAAATCAAGCTTATATCCAAATTTCCAAAAAGATACACTTAATAGTTTCGCTTAAGATTTGTGTGTTCTGTGTGTTCTTTGTGCGGCCGGGTAATCGCTCGCCGCCTGGCGCAGGGGTTTTGCACATAACCCCTTCCCCTCTCCCTTTGCCAGAACTAATCTGGCCGGCTCCGAATCCTCAAATTGGACATTGACTTCTCCTCAAATCAAGGCTAATCTCAATCCGCTGGGTTGGTGAATTGAAAACTGCGGACTATTGTCATATGTGAGAGTTTGAGGACTTTCTTCCAAAAGAAACCCATTTTGGTGTCAATGGAAAAGTTGTAGAGAATCAAAAATCAAGCTTATATCCGAATTTTCAGAACGATTCGAAAACTGGTTTTCAAGTAATGCCAAATTTACGAATTTTCACAAAACTTGCATTTTAAGCGAAACTACTAAGTGTATCTTTTTGGAAATTTGGCTATAAGCCTAATTTTTGATTCTCTACAACTTTTCCATTGACACCAAAAAGGGTTTCTTTTGAAGAAAGTGCTCAAACGTCCTCCAGGGACATCTCCAGTCCTCCATTTTTGAGTCTCACACTTGTCTCACACACAAACCAAAATCCTACTACGAAAGAGGAATCCGCAAATTGCCTGTAAAATGGGCAGAAGTCGTCAATAATAATGGAAATTATTTGGAATGAATTGATGGTTTTATGTTGAATAAATTTTAGTTCAAAGTCCGGCAGTTTTCAATTCACCAACCCAATACTTTTTGTTAGACTATTTTGTCTAAATAGATAATGGTCTTTTGCCCTGCCTTGCTGGGTCGACAATCGTATGAAGCCTGTCTGCAACCATTATCACCAGTGAATTCATTTAGAACTGCTGCCGCATCTTGATACGTTTTGTTGTACTTGCTAAGGAGAATGAGTGGAATTGCGTCACAAATTCCACAAGTTTCCTCAGCAGTGGTACTCTCTACAGCTGAAATGAGCTTGTTTTTGTTTCTGGGTGTCTAAAGATCTTCGCTAAGCTTTAACTTTTAAAAACTATTGCTTTGGCATACCTGGAGTGGTCGTCAGAGCTGCAGCAGCTGTTGTTTCTGCAACTAAACGAGAACGAGACTTGAATAAGAACTAGATCATTATGAAAAGTGACAGTGCAATTTACAGTAAACGTTGCAATTTTGTGCAATTCTAGCAAATTTTTAATTGTAGAATGGTGAGATTGACATCAAATTTTTTTGTCAACATCATTCAATGACAAAACCGCACCAGTGCTTGCCGGTGTAGTAGTGACTGATTGGCTGGTGCTTTCCACTGTTGTTGCAAGCGTTGTAATAATTTCTGTGGTGGTCATAGCTGTACTAGCTAAAGTTCAAAAGTTATTGTGGTGAGTGATTTGTAGTATGGAATTTTATTATTACAAAAACCACTCAAGTTACCGTCTGTACTTGTTGGCATTGTTGTGCTTGTAGTTGCAGCAGTTGTAGTGACGGGTGTGGTCGTTGTCGTGCGAGTGGTTGTCGTAGTAATGGTGGTGGTTGTAGTAGTGCGAGTAGTAGTGGTGGTACTTGTGGTTGTAGTGGTTGTCGTAGTACTAGTCGTTGTGGTCCGTTCTGTGGTGGTCGTAGTACTTGTTGTAGTTGTCGTCGTACTCGTGGTCGTAGTTGTTGTGGTTGTTGTCGTAGTGGTACTCGTGGTGGCTGTGGTGGTTGTGGTGGTTGTGGTTGTAGTGGTAGTCTAGTGGTCGTACTTGTTGTCGTGGAAGTCGTTGTCGTTGTAGTTGTTGTCGTTGTTGGCTTCTAAAGGGCTTAAGGTTCAAAGTGGTTGCTGGAGAACTTACGGTAGTTGTTGTCGTTGTTGTCGTCGTTGTTGTCGTTGTTGTTGTCGTTGTTGTTGTTGGCTTGGTAGTAGTGGAAGTAGTAGTTGTGGTTGTTGTGGTTGTCGTTGTAGGCTTTGTTGTGGTTGTCGTCGTTGTCGTGGTTGTCGTCGTTGTCGTCGTTGTTGTTGTCGTTGTTGTCGTTGTCGTCGTAGTAGTTGTCGTCGCCGTTGTTGGTGTAGTCGTTTCCGGCTTTGGCGTCGTTACACAATAATCCACCTCCGAATAAGTTCCTCTAAAACCAAAAGAATTCCGTCGACAATCCTTCAACAAACGGGCAATTGTATGTTGAATCAGCGGTGCAACCAGTTGGCAGCGGCATACATGTCCGCATTCGTTGCTTGAAGTTCATAATATCATCATATGCAATACCGGGTGGACATGTCGACCAATCGCCCCACGGTCCCCTGAAATTTTTGGCTTTAAAATAAGGCTTTAAGGCTTTAAATTTAAACCTAATAATAAGATAGATTAACTCTTTTATTAGCTTTTCATTTTGTTTCTTTGCTTTAAACTTTAAAAATATTCACCATTCTCCTGTAGCCGAACATGAAGTTGCTTGGATGAGATCGGGAACCGTGAAACAAAAGAAAAATAGGAATATAAAGCGCCTCATGCGCTCATCTCCTTAAAATAAATGACGATAAAAAGCTTTTCGTGGCCCGTCGTGAAGAAAAGTCCTGGAAATTATCGAATTCGGGAAAGCCGAAATGAAAAGATCTTCAGAAAATAAGTCGGAATGGTTTTAAAGGTTTAGCTGATTTTGAAATTGATTGTGAGTCAATCTAAAGTGTCAAAAACATGTCAAAAGTCAGTATTATTGAGCGGATTCTTTTATTTCAGTCATATTGTAGATTTTTGTAAGGTAAGCAATACTGAAATTGGTGTAGAATACCAAAATGAAAGGAGTAGAGTAGAAGATTGTGAAAGAAGTTTAGAAGATTGACTAGATTCGTTAGAATTCTTAGGTAAAAAGCTAAGAAGGCAAAATCTAAGGTATTACAATAATTATGTATCAGTATCAACAAACAAAATGAAATCCGAAAGAAAGAGAATGAGTTTGAATGACGTTTGATCAATGAGATGTTGAATGGATCGATAGCCAGCTTGTCGTGTTCGTTTCGTGTGCGTTTCTGTGTGCGATCTGGTCTTTCCTCTCGACTCATTTTGTTTTTTTGCGAAATAAACGAAAATCGCCGTCCAATCAGCTAACTACCCTAATCGGCCTAGTTGTGCGGCACAGTGAAATGGGAAAAAACGGAGGTTCATTCATCGTTCGACACGATCACGATTCCTCATCGCTTCTGTGAGGCCGGGGAACTGGGAAATCTTATTGAAATAGAACATTCAGTTTTCAAGCGATAACAAGATCCTTGTGAGTTTTCAATGAAGAATTTCTATGGAATGATGGAACACTGAAATCGATTTTATTAAGTTGACTCATAAGCCATGATAACACTTTGTTTTACTAGTGTTTATAAATCACAAATTCATCAATTAACCTACGGTTTGCTTCAAACAAATCATGTTTAACATTAATTTTTCTATCTTTTTAAGACAATTTACCACCTTTTCCAAGCAAATTCAAGTGCAAAAACTCGTTTTTCGTAAAATTCGATACTCTATAAAGAAATCGACTGAAAAGATTATTCTGAAAAATTTGGCTATATACGAAACTCTTTGCGCTCGATCTTTTATCGATTCACAGCAACATAGATTTCTCTGGACCAAAACGCCTAAATTGCGTCTTCATTTTGTCGCCTTTTTTGACTACCCCGATTTCGCTCCCCCAGTTTAGTTCAATTTTTAAATTCCAAACCTTGCCGTGGACAGGTGAAAGAAAGCTACCACCTTGAGCCACCAGAAAATATTTTGAAAATTTGATCAGAAGTGGATTTTTTTTCTATGGAACACCCTGTAGTGTCGTTTCATGAGTTTTTTTGCTGCCCCTGCGGACCGAAATCCTTGGGATGAATCCAAAAATTCACAGCGGCTCCCTTCAGCACCCTTTTACAGGCACTTGGGGTCCCATTTCGCCCGGCGGAGAACCCACCATTGTGGTCAAAATGAGCCGGAACTGGGTTTGCCAATTCTACAGCCGAAGTTAGTTTGGGAAGCGGTGACCATACGGGGCAGACAACGGATTGGTTACCGGATGACCCAAAATGGACGCTTCCGATTGAACAAGCGAGAAGGGAACTATATTTGGAAACCTTTTATGCCAGATCGAGTGCGATTGTGCTCGCGCACAGTGAACACAACGATCCTCTTTAATTAATGTTAATGTTAATTTTTTAGTTGCTTAATCTTTTTTTAATGTTTTAATTTTTAATGTTTTGTTGGTTTTAATGTTTTTAAACATTAAAATTAAAACATTCGCGCACCAAAATGCACTAAATACCGTGATCCACTTTTTTTTTGCGCAAAATCATTTTTTTTGCAACAAAATTCTCATGGTTGTGGCTCAGATGGTGGTGGTGACCATGGTGGTGGTGACCATGGTGGTGGCTCAGATGGTGGTGGTGATCATGGTGGTGGCTCAGATGGTGGTGGTGACCATGGTGGTGGTGATCATGGTGGTGGCTCAGATGGTGGTGGTGATCATGGTGGTGGCTCAGATGGTGGTGGTGATCATGGTGGTGGCTCAGATGGTGGTGGTGATCATGGTGGTGGCTCAGATGGTGGCGGTGACCATGGTGGTGGCTCAGATGGTGGTGGCTCAGATGGTGGTGGTGATCATGGTGGTGGCTCAGATGGTGGCGGTGACCATGGTGGTGGCTCAGATGGTGGTGGTGATCATGGTGGTGGCTCAGATGGTGGCGGTGACCATGGTGGTGGCTCAGAAATTTCCCATGTATTGGAAGTCATGGAATCGGAAAAAAGTCACAAAATATCAAAAATTTACCCGCCCAAAATATTCACTTTAACACCACAAAAACCTTCAAGAACCACTAGAAATTCTGAGAAAAATCGAGCTGAACTGACTTTTTTTTGGAACACCCTGTATATTAAGTTGCCTTACACGTTATTAGTTATTAGCTATTAGTTATACCATTTGTTTGAAGCAAATCGTAGGTTAATTGATGAATTTGTGATTTATAAACGCTAGTAAAACAAAGTGTTATCAAGGCTTATGAGTCAACTTAATAAATATCAATTAAATTTGAAATGTAAATTGCGATTTTTTGAATGAGCAGATTGAAATCTTTGTTTTCATTATGATTTGTGACTGTCTAGTAAAAGTTTCAAATCGAAATATCTTTATTCAAAAACAAAAATATATTACACTTGACTTCAAAATGATTTCCAAAAACTTTTCTTGATTGTAAAGATGTTTTTGGTAATTGTGAACAAAAAACGGGGTAGGCTAGTTTCCGCAATTTTTTTTTGCGCAACAGGATCATTTGCGAAACTGGGTCGTTTGCGCAACTCGTCATGACTTTTTCTAAGTTGGACCAATCTTTATGATGTTGGTTTCATTTTGTTGCACTTATTGAGATCTACAAAATGAAACCAACATCATAAAGATTGATCGGCTTAGAAGAAAGTTATGGCGAGTTGCGCACAAACAAATTCGCGCAAACAAACAACTAGCTCATTCGCTCAACTCGTCATAACTTTCTTCTAAGTCGGCCAATCTTTATGATTTTTGTTTCATTTTGTAGATCTCAATAAGTGCTACAAAATGAAACCAACATCATAAAGATTGGCCCACTTAGAAAAAGTCATGACGAGTTGCGCAAACGACCCAGTTGCGCACAAACAAATTGCGGAAATTAGCCTACCCCCAAAATCAAGCACGAATTGAGATACTGTACATGGACAAATATTATGCAAAAGTCTGTCTATTTCATTTATTTTTATGAGTACCCGTTGAAGAGAGCAATTGTCGGAACTGATCATTTAAAAACAGAGAAAATGGCATAAATCTCCAGAAATAAGGCCAAAAAAAATGGGATAAAGCAAATAAGAGATTGGGAAATTTACCGTAGTCCTTTCAAAATTCAGAAAATTAATTCAGAAAGATGTCTAGTCAAGATTCAGTCAAAGATTAAGTACAATTGTCAATGAAAGGAGATCTTTCAAATCTCGGAGATATCATTATTGTGTGTAAATGGATTCGTTTTTAGATGAAATCTCGGAGATTCTTGGGGGGAATTCGTTTGCGGTCGATTTGGATGAAAATCATCGCTGAATCGCTCGCGTTTCTCGTTTTCCGAGTTCTCCGTCTCGTCGACTTGGTGTACTTCGTCGTCCATCGGTAGACTCTCCAAAGAGACTGAGTTGGCGCGATCTGAATTTAGCATTTCAATTATTTCGTTGGTTAATGGGATGTATGTTTTGATTCTTGCACAGAGGAGGCAAATAAGTCTTTCAGGGAGGCTTCAAAAGACTCTTTCTTATGGTATGACGTTGGTGGTCTAGTGGATAACACAGACTGACTTTCGCTTTAGACTTTCGCTCGCAGGATCAAGGTTCGCACCAGGATTCAGCCTTTTCTTTTTGTTTTTGTTTTTCGGGAACAACTTTCAGCATTTTACAACGTGCAAAGTTGGAATTGTTCAAGGAAAATTCAAGCCCTCATAGCTGAGTCTCCCCGTTTTTGTACTCCTTTTCTACTTCAAGATCTCATGGTTCTTGTACACGGTCTCCACGGTACACGGTGTCCACGGTACACGGTCTGTTGTACACCGTCTGTTGTACACGGTCTGTTGTACACGGTCTGTTGTACACCGTCTGTTGTACACCGTCTGTTGTACACCGTCTGTTGTACACCGTCTGTTGTACACGGTCTGTTGTACACGGTCTGTTGTACACGGTCTGTTGTACACCGTCTGTTGTACACGGTCTGTTGTACACGGTCTGTTGTACACCATCTGTTGTACACGGTCTGTTGTACACGGTCTGTTGTACACCATCTGTTGTACACGGTCTGTTGTACACGGTCTCCTTGACTTGGGTTATATGGTTTTATGCATTTGCTTTTGTGTTCATTATCATTATTATTATTCATTATTGTCCTCTCGTGCCTTGCCCCAATAGCATTCCTCTCAATATCTCATTTCACTTCTCTTCTTGTTCAATTCAAAGTTCTATTCGTGTAACTTACTAAATAAACTCATCCGGGCCTTATGCCCATGGACATTAACTATTAGTTTTATATTTATGGCTTTCATTCTTCGACTAAACACCTATCATAAATGTTCTGTAAAGCTCTGCATCCAGTATCACTTGGTTCAAGCATTGATGGCGCAAAGCTTTCAGTTTTTCCACCATTTAAAAGAAATTCAGCGTTGCTAGATTAACAAATTCAAAGGCTGACTGATGTCAAGCAAGTTAATGAGATTTTGGACGCCTAAACGCCCAAATTAGGCACTTACAGTGTTGCTAGATGAACAAGTTCAAAGGCTGACTGATGTCAAGCAAGTTAATGAGATTTTGGACGCCTAAACGCCCAAATTAGGCACTTACAGTGTTACAGTGTTAAGATAAACAAAAAAAAGCCATACTTCTTCTAGAGTTTAGAAAGTAATGCACTTCTGAAAATGCTGGCTACAAATTCTGAAAGCCTGCTCATTATGCAAAACTGATCTTCAATTCAATTCAATTCAATTCAATTCAACTCCAATTCAATTCAACTCCAATTCTCACCTCCATACGAGAGACTCGTCTCGATCGTTTCATTCTTCGACGATTCTCCTCCAGGTGTTTCCTCGGAGTTCATTCGATGTAACGCATTCTCGGGTGTTTCCATTAAAACCACCTCATTTTCGGGGATTACAACTGTGTCTAACTGAAATTTTGGCTCTAAATTATCCATTATTTCTTCATTACCTTTGATCGATCATGGTATCCAAAATTGTAGTACTCCTTTCTTGAATCTAATTTCAGATAGGAATACTCTTCGGTGACCTCTTCAAGTTGCATGGCTAATCGTTGTCGTATGACGCTGAACTCGGGACGATCAGTCGGATTGAAAGTCCAGCACGATTTCATCACTTGGTAACTGAAACGATGGATTTTACAATTGACTAAAGGATTGACTAAAGGATTGACTAAGATTGAACTCACTAATCATCAGGGCAATTATCGGGTTGTTCGATTCGTCCACCCTGCTCCAAGTAATCAAGCATGTCAACTGGTTGGATACATGGGTAAGGAGAGCCACCAAGGGTGATCACCTCGAATAGTAAGACGCCGAAAGACCATCTAAAATAGTTTTTATTGATCTAGTTACAATAGAACGATCGGATTAAGGTTTACTTACACATCACTTTTCGATGAGAACTCGTAGTGTCGAATCGCTTCAGGTGACATCCATTTCAATGGTAAACGACCACCCTAAAGTTTTTGATAAGTTTTTTGAGACCTAAAAATAGGTAGGTAGTTCGTTTACTTTAAGGAGTTTACGTTTAAGTTTTATTGTTAAATCTTAAACTTCTCATTTCAAGAATGTGTAAAGCAATAGCCTTTGGAAAGCAATTAGGGATTTAATGAATTGTAAAACAGCTCTTTCTTATCGTACATTTTTGTGCAAAGTAAGAATGTGCAAAGCAATAACCTTTGGAAAGCTATTTAATGAATTTAATGAATTGTAGAACAGGTCTTCTTATCGTACATTTTTGGATAAAAATATTTAAGCTGAGTTTTAAATGCTTTAAAAAGCTTCTTTCTAGCTCGGAAACGTCTGCTGGTGGCTTAATGGATAACGCATAACAATTCCGCCCACGGGAGCATTGTTCAATCCCTGATGCAGCTTTTTGTTTCTTTTTAGAGCAACTTCTAGCATTTTTCAGCTAATTTCATTCTGGCGGCTTTATTTAGATAATAAAAGGAAGAATTCAAGATTTAGTACTCTAATACTTAAGTAGTTAGTAGTCTAATACTAATTCCAACTAATTCCACTAAAAAATAACCCCACCTTGCTGACATATTGCGAATTCTCCGAGTAGATGTACCGAGTGAGCCCAAAGTCACCGATTTTCACTTCACTTCGATTCGAGACAAGGACATTTCTCGCGGCAACATCCCTGTGAACGAATCCCTTTTGCGAGAGGTATTCCTGAAGTTCTCTTTTGGGAAATAAAATCACAATCTGCAAACCAAGCCATAAGAGATTTGCACAGAAAACATCAACAATTGCTTCATCGTCAGAATCATCGTTTCATCGTAGACATCGTCCTCGGTTGGCTCGTGATAGTTCACGCAAGCTTCGTCTAACTGAAAAAAAAGCTGATTTAGCTGGTTTCGCTGATTTTTCGCTGATTTTCAAGAAAACACTCTTGAAATTCTTTGGATTACTCGAAAATTTACCTTGATCATGTATTTGCATCGCTCTTGCAAGAACTGAAGCAGATCCCCATTGTTGCAGAACTCGACGACTAGGCAGTAGGGCTCTGAAAGGTTTTTTTTGGTGAATTTTACTTTTACTGATAAAATTGATGTTTTGGCTTCATTTTTCAAGGTTAGGACTAGGATTCAATACTAGGACTTCAAGGCTAGGATTCAAGGCTAGGACTCAAGGCTAGGATTCAAGGCTAGGATTCAAGGCTAGGACTCGAGGCTGGGATTCAAGGCTAGGACATCAAGGCTGAGATTCAAGGCTAGGATTCAAGGCCAGGATTCAAGGCTAGGATTCAAAGCTAGGATTCAAGGCTAGGATTCAAGGCTAGGACTTCAAGGCTGGGACTTCAAGGCTGGGATTCAAGGCTAGGACTTAAAAAAAACACTCACCCGATTCAGTGACACAAGCCAACATGTTGACAAGTCTCTCATGGTATCCCATCGATTTCATCAAAGCTATCTCTTGAAGAAACTCGCTTTTCGACACGTCATCAGCGTATTCTGAAGGGTGAAATTGGTTTTGAAAAAAACAGAAACAATTCAGCCATCTATCTATGAAATTGAAGCTGTTTTTGCTGTCTCGACTGGTTTGAACTAGTCCGCTTGATGCATTGACTTAAAAAAACTAGAATCTAAAAACTTAAAAACTATAATATAATCCTAACGACTATGATACTTTTCAAGTCTATAAGTGCATTGCTTTGCATTTGAAATCAGTTAAGAAGTAAGCTTCTTAAAGAAATTCTGAAGAAAATCGGCCAACTGAAAAAATTCTTTCAAAAAAATTTCCACCACGGCAGGACTCGAACCTGCAATCTCTGGTTTAGGAGACCAGCCCCTTATCCATTAGGCCACGCGGCCAGTGGAAACTGTGTCGAATTTTAGCAATTTGAAGCTTACCTGGCAACATTTTCACAGCCACATCACAATTCTCGGCTCTCATCAAATTGATTCCCAAAGGCGAGTTGGCGTCTTTGTGACCGAGTGATTTGCCGAGGAGTTTTCCTGAAAATTTTCCATTCAATTTTCTTTACCATTTTCCATACCCATGAAAACTGATCCAAAAGCTCCTGATCCTAGCTTCTTGTCGCTTTCAATGATCAAATTTCGTCGCTCAATCTCCCAAATGTCTGATCTAAAGGAATCTTTTCATTAAAATCTTAAAGATAAAGTATTTGTCTTTGTATTTGTATTTGCCTTTGTATTTGTATTTGTCTTTGTATTTGTATTTGTCTTTGCACTGACTTTTTCGGCAAATTTGTATATCGTCCATCGCGTAGATTCCTATCTAATTGTGCCAATTTGAGAGCATAAAGTTTATTCTGAAAAAAAGATGAGATTAGTGCTTTGAAAAGATGGTTTAGAACTATTTTAGAACTATTCTAGAGCTATTCTAGAGCTATTCTAGAGCTATTTTACCTTGTTCTTTTGCTTTTTCGTGTAACAACAGCATCCGATAATGATAGAGAAAATGATGAATAGCAATGAGCCAACAACCAAGCCAACAATCAAACCAGTGTTGTTACTTTCGTAATCTAAAATAGAAAATGATTGATTTTCAAGAGTTTAACACTAAATAATCATCAGTTTTTTTCAATTTAATACAATTTACAAAGCTTACAATTACAATTTCAATATTTCAATAACTATAACTCCTTAGCATTACTTTTTTAGTCAAAATGTTTTCTCGACTTTCAGATAAAGAAAAAAGTTGCTAAGCTAGCTGCTAGGATAATTGCAGAGATACGAAATGATCAACGCTCATTGTTACTGCAAAAAAAAGTGGGCACAAAGTCGTGAACTCTTCGGTTTCTTGAGATTTCTTTCGATTTTCAAATCAATCTCACCTCTTGCGTAGACCTCAACTTTCTCAGCTCTTGGTTTTATTGCCTTGTTTCCAGCTAGGACATCGGGAAAAGTGGTGTTCCTGAAAAGTTTCTTTGATCCAAGATTTACTCAAACTTTCCCCGCTCACCTCGGATCTCTCACCCCACAAACGACAATCCCGTACTCGGTGTCCCATTGCAAATTGTCCAAACGGAAAGTGTTGTTGTCGTTTCGTCTCTGAAGACATGTTATTCATGTTGATATTATTCTTATTGTATATTCATGTATTCAAGGTCGGGCCGTATTATTCATTTTCCTTTTCTTTCTTTAATTTAACGAAAGCTTTGTAGAAAAGTTTGCTAAAGACTGAAATGGTTTTGACAAAATTTCAGCATCAAAAATCGAATTCTATTCATAAAATAATATGTGGTATTTTCTCTAATAGTAGTACACCCCGGCAAGCCGAGTTAGTGACGATTTTACGGTTTCCAAGCTTTTGCAGAAGCTCAACACTCTAATCCCCCACTAGATCACATCGTCAGCTACATTTTCCGACCGCACATCGATAGGTTCTGATAAGCGATTCTCGAGATTTCAAGCAATTTAGGCGACGATTTTTGGTGCACTACTATTAGAGAAAATACGGTAACCATTTATGGTTTATGTAAACTTTAGGTTATATAAGGTTCTGATAAGCGATTCTCGAGATTTCAAGGAATTTAGGCGACGCTCGGGATGCACTAATTATTAGAGAAAATACGATATTTAGATATCCAAAGTATTAACAAACCAATGAAGAAAAACGCTTCACATCAAATTTTAGCTTTAATTTGTTTAAATTCGATACCGACAACGGCGGCCGCGTGGCCTAATGGATAAGGCGCTGGTCTCCTAAACCAGAGATTGCAGGTTCGAGTCCTGCCGTGGTCGAAACTTTTTCTTTTTTGTGGTTTTCCTCACCAAGCATTCTCCGCTCTCGTGAAATTCGATACAATCGCTCACTTTTTGCGTCACATTCAAAATGTTGACCCCAAGGAATTCCGACTGAAAAAGGATTTTATAAAAAAATAAAAGTTGTGCAAAAAAAGTAAATCAAGCCCGGGAAACCAAAAAAAAGCAAAGAAAGACAAAAAATTGTATTCTAGCAAAAATTTACAATCTCTTCCTCATCGGATTTCGAATAGATTGAGAACTGAAAGTGGATTAGTTGGGATGGGGAAATGTTAGGGTAGAAGTTGGAGTGAGATTTTCGGAGAAACGTTACTTGATTGTCAGCGAAATCCGCAGCTGGTCCGAAGAAAGCAACCATGTAGTTGAAAGATGGGCTATTTTTGATTAAACTAAAGAAAACAAAGGTTTTCCGTGAAAATTCTCAAACTTGACAGTGTAGTTGACAGAGAATTCGGCATCTTTCCCCGGTAATTTGTCCCAAAGTGGCTAAAATTAGGGGTGGAATAAAAAGAATTTCAGAATGTGAGACTTACCGTGGCTTTTCCACCAGCCGTTCTCCCACAGATCGGCGCTGGGAATTGGATCGAACTGCATGGACTGTGCTCGACGCTATTGCAATCTGGAAGTTGATTTTGGAAAGAGTTTAAGTATTTAGAAATATTGTTTGCAAGCGAATTTACCACAGAGTGGAGCTCTAGAAATGGGAAAATTTGAACGCGAACCCAATTCCAACTTCGCTTTCTCGGCCATTTCTTGACCAATTGCTCTGAAAGTTTGTCTACAAGCTGAAAATTTCGATTTCGATCTGTAGACAAAATTTCAAAGCAATCGATCAAGAATTGACGGAGAAAGCGAAGGTGGAATTGGGTTCGAGTTGAAATTTCCCCATTTCTAGGAAAATCATCAAATCTTTCAATCTTTCAACTTTGTACTTGATTTCAATTCAAACATTTGATGAAATTAGCTTAGATTTATCTTACTCAAGCTTAATTTAAACACAATTTATGTCTACAAATCCAAATAACTCTTGCTAAAGCCAGCTAGAGCTAAAGACAGCTAGAGCTAAAGCCAGCTAGAGCTAAAGACAGCTAGAGCTAAAGCCAGCTAGAGCTAAAGCCAGCTAGAGCTAAAGCCAGCTAGAGCTAAAGATCGTGAAGATCAAGATCATATCACTTTCAAGAAAACTCACTAATGGTGAGCGTTTGAATCTCGCCATTTGGTGGACTATCCAAAATCGTGCTCGTGCCGCATATTTGACTTGTGGCCGAGTTGAGAAAATAGGCAAATTTGCAATCCTGATACATGTAGTCAGCCGGAAGACGCGTCGAGATCTCGTTTCGACCGGGACCCATCGTCTGGATGTAAAATGGTCATATAAATTTCACGGCAACGAAAACCCTCGACGAGTTCTAGCAAACGGAAATCACAAAAAAAATTTCGACCACGGCAGGACTCGAACCTGCAATCTCTGGTTTAGGAGACCAGCGCCTTATCCATTAGGCCACGCGGCCGGTGAGACTTTGCTCAAATAACTTTAACAAGTTTAAGCAAAAATGATTTGACGCTTTTTTTCCTTTTTTTTTGTGATGGCCAAATGTACTGTTTCTAGTTATGCAATATAATTGGGTTTAATTCAGCCACTTAATTAAGCCCCGCGGTTTTAATCTGTGAATCTTTGTACTCTATGTGCGAATCTTTGCACCGTTTATAGTTATGTAATTTAATCCTAAATCTAATCCTGAGCCTGAGCCATTTTTCAGAGTCCCCTTCTTCAACTCGCAATCCAAAATTATTTTTATAAAAATTTCAAAGAAGTCTTTATAAATTTCGTGATATTTTCAGACCCGGTTTCACATCAAAATTGCGTTAAAGGGTTATAAGCCTATAAGCCTAATTTGTGCTTATTTGCCTAAACCTAAGCCTATACTGTATTCTCTCTAATAGTAGTGCACCCGGCCGAGCCGAGTTGATGACGATTTTACGGTTTCCAATCTTTTGCAGAAGCTCAACACTCTAATCCCCCACTAGATCTCATCGTCAGCTACATTTTCCGACCCCACATCGATAGATTCAGATAAGCCGTCCTCGAGATTTCAAGGAATTTAGGCGACGCTCATGATGCACTACTATTAGAGAAAATACGGTAGACATCTATGGTTTATGTAAACTTTTAAATGTCATTTTTTTGCGGGACCTTTAACCATAGAGAACCGCGCGGCTTATAACCCTTTAAGTATTCATTATTGTGTAGCTATGCTCATTCGTTTTAAGTGAGATGGAGCTTGCTTGACTCACAAATGTCCCTTGTGGAAGCACGGCTCCCTCGTTGTTGAGGTTCGAGCAAGTGAAGAGATGGAAAAATGGCTCAACAACGATGTCGGGCATTCCGAGCTGCCAATCTGGAAAATGTTATGGTAGATATGGGAAATATGGGAAATACTATAGTAAAGATGGGAAATATTATGGTAAAGTTGAGATTTTTCTTACCTAACGGTGAGAAGATAAAGGTAAGATCGAGAGATCCGTTTGACGTGAAGAAATCGGAGGTGAAAGGCTCTGGCTGAAGTTGAATCATTTCAAAAAACAGAATGACTTTTAAACTAGATATAATTGAGAATTTGAAGACATTTACCGAATAGGTCATCGATCCGACGAGCAGGGTGACATTTGTGAAGACGGGAGCTGGTTTCGGGAGTTTTAAAGAATCGGTGAAGTTAGAGATGCCTAGAATTCTTCCATAAAAATCAATTTCGATTCAAAATTGACCAAAATTGACCAAAATTGATCAAAATTGATCAAAATTGCAAAATCCACAATATTTTACAATATATTGCTCGAAAATTGCTGAAACAAACCATTTACTGAAACAGCAGCCACTCGAATCGTCGGCGATTCACAATCAGGCCCACCGGTGATCAAGAAATTGTCGATGAAGGCAAGGCAGGTAAGCTGGAAATTGGAAATTAACACTTTTTAATGTTTTAGGACAGTATTTAAATAAAATTTTGAAAGATTCACTTATTTTTGTTCACTAACTTGTTGTTTACTGTCGCTGAAATCGATTTCATTTGAGAATTTGTACTGAACGATGTAGAATTGCACTTTCGGGACGGGAATCCATTGCACATGGGTTCTAAAGAAATTGGTTTAGACAAATATTGTATTTGGAGTACAGTTTACTCGAACTTATAGTAGCTATAAGTAATGGAGTATCAAGAGTCTTTAAGATTTTCTGTAGGATACTGTAGAATACTTCTGTTAGAATGCTTTCTGTTCTACTCTAGAATGCTGCTGTTAGAATACTTTCTGTTCTACTGTTGGATACTTCGGTTAGAATGCGTTCTATTTTACTGTTAAATACTTTCTGTTCTACTGTATAATACTTCTGTTAGAATATTTTCTGTTCTACTTTTGAATACTTTTGTTAGAATACTTTCTGTTCTACTGTTGAATACTTTTGTTAGAATACTTTCTATTCTACTGTTGAATACTTTCTGTTCTACTGTACAAGTCTTTATGTAAGAGAACATGTTAAGGTTAATTATAAATTTCAATTCGATTTCAAATCACTTACGATCCCATGGGATCTTTCGACGAAACAAGTCTCGTCGGAGTGTCGATGACCGTCGACGAGCCAAGATCATCACAATTCTGCCAACAGCTCACATTTGTCGGAGACTAAAGTTAACAAAGATATTCAATATTCAATCAGATTACTGTAGTTAGTTACTGTAGTTAATTACTGTTAGTGAAAAGTCAATGAAACGGGTATTGAGTCAGCTTTTGCTATAGTAACCCAATCTTCGTTGTTTCGTTGAACCGGATGAGTTCATATCCGATTCATAACTTCAAGTACAATGAAGCAAATTCATCATATCAGAGAATGTTGTTTCTTTGCTACATTGCTCGTGAAAATTTCCTTTAATTACTCACACACAAATTGGTGTTATTGTAGCGTTCGCATTGAGGGCCGCATTTATCGAAGACTTCGCGGGATTGCTGAAAATGAGTGGGATTCAGAAAAAGAAAAAGTTAAGGAAAAAATCTTTAACTATTCAGGTAATGTTTTTCAAAAACGGTGATTGATTTTGAAGTTCATGGCTTATTATGTAAAGCTTTATAAATACGCATTGCTGGTTTTCAAGCTATTTAGCGTTTGAGCCTGGCCTTAGTTAATTTTCAACCAGACTGCAATATTCTATTCTTTAAGAAAACTATTTCTCAGGATTACATTTGTTTAATGTTGCTCATTTTATCTTTTTGTCAAAAAAAGCACTCACCCCAGTGACCTCAACACATTGTGCTTGACATCGGAAGAAGCATTGCTCGGGAGTGGTGAAGAAAGAATGGACAGAGATGGGGAAAATGAAAAGGAAGAGAACGATCATGAATTGACTCACATCCATACGAGAGTCAGCTGAAATGGAAATGAAATGGAAATGAAATGAGATTTGAAATGAGATTCAGGGAATCGAATGAACTTTGCAGTGATTGCAATAAAGTGAGGAATGGTAAAGAAAGATTTCTGGAGAGGGGATTGAACCCTCGCTTTCCAGGTAGATGCTCTAACCATTGAGCTATCTGGTATCTTCTTGCCAAAGAAGAGGGAAAGCAGGAAGAGAGGGGAAGAAAGGGGAAGAGAAAGGAAGAAAGAGAGTCTAAGAAAGACTGAATGAAGTTACTAAAGTAAAAATTGAATTGAATTGAATTGAATTGATTTGATTTCAATGTAAATTAGAAATTTTCAACAAATTAATTAGATAGACTTGACAAATAGATTAAATAAAAATAGATTCAAATTGTAATTGAGTTTAATGATTTGAAAAATTTTGTGCAGCAAGATTTCAGTTCAAATTTCTTTTCATCCTTGTAAACGATGAACTTGACGATTGACGAAATGGTTAGCTTTAAAGTTGTAAATATTGATTGTAGGTTGAAGATTGAATAGATTGAATAGATTGAATAGATTGAATAGATTGAAGTCTAAATATCGATTAAGATTCGTTTAAAAATCTTAAACTGGCATGAAATAAAGTAAAATTTGTGAAATTTGAAAGATTTTACCCTGTCAAATCAAAGTTTTATGGGAATGAGAGCTTTTTTTTTTGATAAAAACATGATTTCCAGTGAGACAGTTGGGGGAAATGTCAAAATTGTCGGTATGTCCATGAATCATGAAGATTTATGCTTGCCTAGATTTAGGAAAAACCACCAATAAGTTCATCGGGGGTCCGTTTTTGAAAACTTTCAAATCTCTCTCCAAAAACGGGTAATCCCTTGTCTATCTTTGCCGTTTATTCTCTCGAAAACTCTCTCTCTCTCCGTTTTTTTTACTCGAATCGTCCCCCACATATGCGACGGGAAAAAACGTCATCACCCATACAACTGATCGATTTCATTTTTGAAGGATTGCACTTTTTGACAATCGGAAAACAATATGGAAATTGGGAATTGAGTTTTTGATGAGTTAAAAGAGTTGAAACAATTGATTTGAAAAGTTTTCGAGTTTAAAAGAGATTGGTACTTGTGATAGACTGATTGATATCCAGATAGACTCATTGATATCCAGATAGACTCATTGATATCCAGACAGACTCATTGATATCCACAGAGACTCAACTCGATTAAGCAAGAAGCTGACTTTGATTCATCTTTTAGCTTATCTAAACCCTGTTCAAAGCAAAATATTATTTCTCTTTTCTTTTTTTGATAATTTTCTCTGGTACTTGTCGGTTATACATTTACAGAGACTCAACTCGATTAAGCTGACAGCTTTTGAAGAAGCTGATGAAGCTGACAACTTTTGAGTGGTGATTATGTTCAGTGAAGTAGAGTGATAATAGAGAAGGAGTCTCACCAAGTTTAAAGTTTAGAGGAGATTTAATAGAGAAAGAGTCTCACCAAGTTTAAAGGAGATTTAATAGAGAAGGAGTCTCACCAAGTTTAAAGTTTAAAGGAGATTTAATAGAGGAGTCTCACCAAGTTTAAAGCATTTCAAATCAAAGAAGCGTATTCAAGAATAGAGAATATAAATGTAAAAATGTTATAAAAATGTTATAAAAATGAAATTATAATAAAATTTAAGTAATCTGAAAATTTGAATCTAAGATAGTAAGTCAAGAAAGTGGCTATGACTTTAGCTTTCTTTCCTTGTGCACCAGAACTATCCAGAGCTCGATTTGCATTTGTTTAGCCTAAAACGCTACTCTCTTCTTAAAAATCTTTTGATCTAGCACTTTTTAAGGCAAAAAGAACGAGATTTAACTCTCCCGTTAGCCCTAATAGTTCGTCAAGGTTGACTTCCCACTTTTCAAACATTCACATCACTCTCGTACTCGACAAAAGGAAACTACTCGAAAACCTTGAACCTCATAAAAATGAGGATAAAACAAACACTTTTCTAAAGGAATTCGAATCAAAAATTATCAGAAAAAGAAGATTTGTTCACTTGTTCAAAGATTGTTCTTTGAACAATTGAGCTAGATTTTTCAATTCAAGAATGTAGATTGTTCAATTCAAGAATATAGATTGTTCAATTCAAGAATGTAGACTGTTCAATTCAAGAATATAGATTATTCAATTCAAGAATATAGATCTTTCAATTCAAGAATGTAGACTGTTCAATTCAAGAATATAGACTGTTCAATTCAAGAATATAGATTGTTCAATTTAAGAATGTAGATTGTTCAATTCAAGAATGTAGACTGTTCAATTCAAGAATGTAGACTGTTCAATTCAAGAATATAGATCTTTCAATTCAAAAATGTTTTATCCCTCAATCAATTTACTCATAATTTATTTTCACATTGTTTCAATGCTCGTGAAAACTTTTCGAATCAATTCACTAAACCCGAATTTCCATATTGTTTTGGGGTTTTCGAAAAAGTGGGATCTTTTCCACGAAAAATTTCAAACGAAATCGATTACTTTTTATTTGTTTGAACAAATTAGAAAGAATAGCTCCTTTTAGACCGAGAAATCCATTCAACAATCCACTCGAATCTTGTTTTTCTGATAATTTTTGATTCCAATTCATTTAGAAAAGTGTTTCTTTTATCTTGATAAATCTTAGATTTCAATTCTAATGAAGATTAGATCAATTCCATCCAAGAAGAAGATCAAATCTAATGAAGATTTAAAGATATTCTCTTTTGAATCTTTTACTATAGAAAGATAGAAAGATAGAAAGAAAGAAAGATAGAAAGATAGAAAGATAGAAAGATAGAAAGAAAGGAAGATAGAAAGATAGAAAGATTGAAAGATAGAAAGAAAGAAAGATAGAAAGATAGAAAGATAGAAAGATAGAAAGAAAGGAAGATAGAAAGATAGAAAGATTGAAAGATAGAAAGAAAGATAGAAAGATTGAAAGATAGAAAGAAAGAAAGATAGAAAGATAGAAAGATAGAAAGATGAAAAGATTCAAAATTCAAAATTCAAAATTCAAAATGCAGTCATTGAATCATAATTCTAGAAGACAGAATTCCGATAGCTCAAAATTTTGACACATTTTCGAAAATGAGAAAGAAAAACTTCGTAAGTCTCACCAATTCGTCGACTTATTAAATCAATTTTCAATTTCCAGAAAGCAGTGATCTTATGAAGAATAGAGATTCGAGCAACACTTGCAAAAGTACACTGAATGAGTAGTGAGAAAAGAAAAGTGCAGCTTTTCTGGGGTAGGCTTATTTCCGCAATTTGTTTTTGCACAACAGGGTCATTTGCGAAACTGGGTCATTTGCGCCACTCGCCATAGCTTTCTTTTAAGCCGGCCAAACTTTATGATGTTGGTTTCATTTTGTTGCACTTATTGAGATCTACAAAATGAAACGAAAATCATAAAGATTAGCCGACTTAGAAGAAAGTTATAGCGAGCTGCGCAAATGGCGCTGTTGCGCAAAAACAGATTGCGGAAATTAGCCTACCCCGCTTTTCTTCATCGAAGATTGAAATAACTTGTGAAAATAACGATTTCAATGAATAATCTCCAGAAAAAATGGGTTCATTTCAGTCAAAATTCCCCGAAATTTGTATCCAAAATGTGAAAAAGTGCAATAAAACAAGCGGAAGACCATCGGAACACAGCAATTTACTGAAAAATACGTAAAAATATTCTTCAGAAGTAATTTTAGTTGAGCAAAAATGTGATTTCTGCTGAAATCTACACTGAAATCATGTTTTTTTGATCTAATTTTTTAAGATTTTAAGGTTTATGTGATGTGATTGTCAAAATTGATTGTTTCCTGTAGTCTTGCAAATTGTCTGAACAATGGCTAAAGTCAGTATTGATACTTTGCTGTAAAATTTTACTACGAAAAAAGGTTTACAAAGACTTTCAGTAAGGCGAAAATGAAATTCTGCAAAATTTTTAGAGAAAATCATCATATTTCAAGGAGTCGTCTACATTTTTCTTACAAAATATAGTCTAGTCTTTCTTACTAGGCTAGTCTTGCTTACTAGTCTAGTCTTTCTTACTAGGCTAGTCCTGCTTACTAGGCTAGTCTTGCTTACTAGGCTAGTCTTGCTACTAGTCTGTCTTTCTTACTGGCTAGTCCGCTTACTAGGCTGTCTTGCTTCTAGGCTGCTTGCTACTAGTCTAGTCTTGCTTATGGCTAGTCTTGCTTACTAGGCTGTCTTGCTTACTGGCTGTCGCTACGTCTGTCTTGCTTACTAGGCTGTCTCTGTCTTGCTTACTAGGCTAGTCTTGCTTACTAGTCTAGTCTTTCTTACTAGTCTAGTCTTTCTTACTAGGCTAGTCCTGCTTACTAGGCTAGTCTTGCTTACAATATGGGATTTGGTCACTTGAGAAGAGTTGAAGAAGTTGAAGTTGAAGAAGAGTTGAAGAAAAGTTTAATTAAACCATCTGAAATATTCAGAATCATTTCAAAATTTGATGAAATCTACACGTCTCACGTTTTTCTGATCTAATTTCTCAATATTTTCGGGTATTTTTGATGTTTTGGTGTTGAAAAAGGATCTTTTTTTTGGGTATTTGAAAATTTAAATATTTGAGTAAATTCCGAAAATTTAAAGGATAAGAGCTCTTTTTTGAAGAAATTGAGCAATATTTAGTTTCTTCAGTGAGATCGTTCTTAAAAATGGAATGGCTTTAAAAGGAAAGTAAAAGAGTTTTGAAAAGCGAAATAAAAAGAAAAACAGAAGCAATTAAATATTGAAATGAAACCATTTATTACAGGAAAAAAAACTCGAAATCGTGGTTTGATGAGAATCATCAAAACAAAGCAAAATAAAAAGACGGCAATTATTCCCAAAAGAAAAACAAAATTAGCTCTAAGATCTCGAAGTTTTTGTGCAAAATAGGGGAAAATTGGATTGAAAAAAAATCTAGAGAACACTGTGAAAACATCACGAATCTTTCGAGTGATTCGTAATAATTCCCATTTTTACATACCGTATTTTCTATAATAATAATGCAGTTTGTAATAGTAATGCAGTCTGTAATAGTAGTGCAGTCTGTAATAGTAATGCAGTTTGTAATAGTAGTGCAGTCTGTAATAGTAATGCAGTCTAATAGTAGTGCAGTCTGTAATAGTAATGCAGTTTGTAATAGTAGTGCAGTCTAATAGTAGTGCAGTCTGTAATAGTAGTGCAGTTTGTAATAATAATGCAGTCTGTAATAGTAGTGTAGGCTGAAGGGGGGTTGAAAAAATAGTAGAGTGCACTACTATTACAGAAAATACGGTATATGTTTTCCCAAGAAGTATCACGATCGATCTAGTCAGCTGAAAATCGGTATCATATGATAGGAAATGAGATTAGATCGAAAAAGTCTGTGAAAATCGATGGATTCCATCAATCTATGCACCTTGGTGTGGAAGAAAAGTGAAGGAGATGCGCAACTCTGATCGAGAAAACGGGAAAGATAGTGGGAAAAGGGGAAAAGGAAAGACAAGGGACAAGGAAGGAAAAAGAAAGAAAAGAGACGAGAAAATTTTTGGAATCCAGTTTTCGTCAGTCATCTTGTCCTATCTAGTCGTTCACTGTTCAAAAAGAAAAAAAAGAGGGTGTAGATGAGAGGGTGTCCGCTTCCGCAACCTTCTTTCACCCCCTTGTCCCCTTTGTGAGAGTCATTCAGTCAGTCAGTCAGTCAGTTAGACCCACTACTTGACAAATGTGACTAGTTTATTTGGCCTTTCATTCAGCCGATTCCTTACATAGAAAGCACGTTAAAATCCTTGATCGATCAAATCAAAGACTGCGATGAAAGTTGAACTATTTTAGTACTCTACTTGAATACTAAAACATTTAAGTCAAGTAATTCGTTCAGTAATTAAGCTATTACTTAAGTTATTAAGTTATTAGTTAAGTAATTAAGTAATTAGTTAAGTAATTAAGCTATTACTTAAGTTATTAAGTTGTTACTTAAGTAATTAAGTTATTAGTTAAGTAATTAGGTTATTAGTTAAGTTATTAGTTAAGTAATTAAGTAATTAAGTTATTAGTTAAGTAATTACCGTAAATACTGTAATAGTACCTAACAAAAAAAGGTTTGTTTCGATCAATACTTTAAAGAAAATGTCAAAAAAGTGACTGTTTATTGAAAAGCTTAAAAAGAGTTGACTTGTCAAACGGTGAGAAGAAGGTAGACGGATAAAAAGTAGACAAAATTAAGCACTCAATCCATTCCCAGAACACATCGATTTCAATATTTCTTTAGTCTGTCACTCTTTTCCTTTTCGCTTATTTGTACTGTTAATCCGAGTTGAATGAAAAGAGAAAAACGGAGTTAAAAAAACGAAATTCTTTTGCGCAAGTTGGTCAATTTTCTTTTCGCGAAAACTTTTTCACATCTGATGAAAAGTGATCTGTTTGCTTGGATGTAAAACAGAGAAATCGAATCAATATTTTTCAACAGTTTTCAAATGGTTTCAAATGGTTTTCAAATGGTTTCATGATTTCAAATGATTTCAAATGATTTTCAAATGATTTTCGAAGGGTTTCAAATGGTTTCAAATGGTTTACAAATGATTTCAAATGATTTTCAAATGATTTCAAATGGTTTTGAAATGATTTCAAATGATTTCAAATGATTTCAAGGATTTCTAATGATTTAAAATTGTTTCAAATGATTTCAAATGATTTCAAATGGTTTCAAATGATTTCAAATGATTTTCAAATGATTTTCAAATGATTTCAAATGATTTCAAATGATTTCAAATGGTTTCAAATGATTTTGAAAGGGTTTCAAATGATTTCAAATGATTTCAAATGATATCAAATGATTTCAAATGATTTCAAATGATTTCAAATGATATCAAATGATTTCAAATGATTTCAAATGATTTCAAATGATATCAAATGATTTCAAATGATTTCAAATGATTTCAAATGATTTCAAATGATATCAAATGATTTCAAATGATTTCAAATAGTTTTCAAATGGTTTTAAATGATTTCAAATGATTTTCAAATGATTTCAAATGATTTCAAATAATTTTCAAATGGTTTCAAATGGTTTCTAAGATTTTCGTCAAATTCTTTATTTTTAAAACATTTTCAGTCATTTAACTTTTTTGACTTTTGACTCAAAGAGAGCTTTTCAATGGGTAAAAGCTTTCAAATACTTTAATAATCTAGATTTCAAAGTCATTAAAGTAAAGTAAAGGTTAAGCTGCTTTAAAAAGTTTCAAGTTTCAATTTTAACAACTTTTAAATCGATTTAACATGTTTCAAATCGATTGACAAGTAGAAAGATTGAAAAAATTGAAAAAACTTTGATTCAATATTTAATTTGCAATTTGAGAACAATGAGTTTTTCCAAAAAAAGTCAGAAAGTTCAAAAAATTGAAAAAAAAAAGAGGAAACTCGATCCCTAAATGAAAAGCTGATGTTTAAGAGTTAAAAATGAGAGGAAAGCCTCGATTCGGACAAGTTTACAATCACTTTTGAAGGGTTTTTTTGAAAATAGATAATCATATTGTTTTATGGAACATTTCAATAGCCAATCCTCTTCAAATCAAAGCTAAAAGGTTGGAATTTAAAGAATTTTCGACGAAATAAGTGATTTGGGAATGAGATTGGCATGCAAAAGCCAAAAAAAAGGTAAATAAACCTGTTCTTTGTCTTTTCTTTGTCTTTGTCTTTTCTCTCTCTCTCTAGAAATCTCTCTTGATATAAAAAGAGAGAAAAGACTAACTAGAGATTGTTTATGAGTCATCTATCTCAATGTGACGTCAAAAAAATGATTGTTTTACACAAATTTGTCAAATATTTATCAAATATTTATCAAGCACTCAAAAAAAGAAAAAAATTTGAAAAAAAAGAAAAAGCTGATGACTGAAAGATAAAATCTTTGATTTTATACCCGAAAATGAAGGAAAATTGCAGTTTATAACGAAAAAAAATAAAGAAAAACGATCAAATTAATTCCCAACTTTCATGTACTCGGCAAAGTCGATGTAGCTGAAAAAAAAAATAGATTTAAAACCTTTACGCTCCACGACAGGGGCCAACTTTTTGACCGACTTGCAACCCGATTTTATATAGTTTTTTCTTAATAACTTTTGATGAAACAAATATTTTCTGAAAGCTGACATTCTAAGCTATTTAAATCTTATTAAAATTTTTGAATCTGACAAGTTTAAGATGCTTAAAAATGAGCTACAAGTTTAGCCAAAAAATTGGCTTCCACCGATAATCGTTACCCCCTGCCGTTAACTGTAAAGATCCGAGATTTGAGATTTTCCGGCATTTCAAATCTTTATAATGTGCTTTATACTCAAATCACGTAAACACACGTTTCCTAGTGCAGATTTCTTTAGATTCTTTTGAGGCGCATAAAAGGTGGCTTTGTTTATCCAGTGACTGTACTTTAAAGCCGTGGAAACTCGTTGAAACGCGCTATTTCTGGCACAATACCTTTTTCTTACAAGGAAACACGTTGAAACGCCGGTTTTTCTGTCAGTTTTTGCCAATTTTAGCTTCAAAATTTGATCTCACTGATCAAAATTTTCATTGGCACCACAAGTCAAAAGATGCTCATTGAGATCACTCAAAGAAACAGGGATTTTGACTATAAAAATTCAACAAAACCCATCAATTAGTGAAAGGTTAAGCTGTACTCTCCATCAGTAGGCGTACTCAATTTATCCCACTTATCGAACACTCTTTTTGGCTCACGGAAATTGATGACTTTTTTTGCAAGAGAGCAAAAGTACGATCAACTCGTGTTTTCAGCTAATAGCTACTTTGAATTCACACAAAAATAAGTTCCCGTTTAAGATTTTGATTCGAAAAACATGCAGAATTTGATCTTTGGAGCTACTTTGAAACAGTTAAGGTAATGTTTTTTGAAAAATGGGGAAAGTTAGGAATTGATTGTGTTCTGCTCGAGCCACCCTTTCAAAGAAGCAAGCAAAATACATTTAGAGAAATATCTTAGTAAAACTTTTAGTTTTCTTTTAGAAAAGCCGAATCTTGATATTAGTTGATGAGAAATTACAATGATTGAATAAAATTGGAGTGAATAGATCTAAGCTAATGGTTTGACTACGATACTTTTCTTAAATAGGTCAAATAGATGCTAAAATACATCAACTTTTGAAAGTTGTTCAGAAAAGTAGCTCTTTTCTGTAAAATCTTATTTGATGCTTTGATTTTGAATATCTCTGATTCTCTTGTCCTTCCTCTAAAGATCATTTGTGTGATAAAAGGAAACGGAGATCACTTTGTATTCTTTTCTTTTACCATTTTAAACACTGAACCAACGATTTATTTTATTTTTTATATTTTCTTGCTATTAGTGATTGTGCTAGATTTGGAATAAAATATTTAAATACCGTATTTTCTCTAATAGTAGTGAGCGACCTCTGAGCGTCGCCTAAATTCCTCGAAATCTCGAGAACCACTTATCAGAACCTATCGATGTGGGATCGGAAAATGTAGCTGACGATGAGATCTAGTGGGGGATTAGAGTGTTGAGCTTCTGTGAAAACTTTAAAAGCCATAAAATAGTCATCAACTCGGCTCGCTGGGGTGCACTACTATTAGAGAAAATACGGTAATCATTGCCCCTTTGGTTCCTCTCTTACGCACTGCACAAAAGCTATCGCAACCGTAAATTTTCTAGCTTTTAACTCTATTTTTGTAATGTTTAAGATTTTTTGGTGTTTATATCAACCCTCACCCATCTCCATTAATATCCATTTGCTCGAGCACACCGTCGATCATTTTCACCATCGAATCCTCGTCAGCCACCGGGTTTCCAGGTCCTGTAAATGTCATTGTTTGTTGTTGTCATTGTTGTCATTGTCATTGTTGAACTTTAAATCTAATAGCAAATCATTATACTCTTCCCCATCTCAAAATCTAAAACTTGCAAAACCTTGCAGTTTTGCTCTATTTCCGAGCTCTGATTCTTTGCCGATAATCATCTCGACTTTTCTTCACTCACCCCGTTTTTCCTCCTCTACAGCATCATGTGAGTGAGTGAGAGATTTCATGATTTCAGTTCCGTCGATCATCCCATCTTTGTTCAAATCGTGCATCGAGAAATAGTGAAATCTAGAGTTGAGATCTTCGTAAACATGATGATCGGAGAACAGTGTGAGATTGACGGGAAACATTCGATTGCAAATTTTTGCCGTAAAATTTGGAATGATCGGGGGAATTGCAAGCAAAAATAAAAAGAACCATTTATATAGAATTTTATAATAACTTCAATTTAATTGTTTTATGACCTTTATGGTTCTAAAACTTTTTTTCCTCTATTTTAGAAAATAAAAATTATGTGCAGCTTTATAAAATTGTTACTAAGATCGTTGAAAAAATTATTAGTTTATGATTTAAAGATTAATGATGTGATTTACAAAAGATTTGTTGATTTTTCCGCCACCAACCTTCTCTGCTCTTCCGTCATCGTCTCCACATTGATCTTGTCCTCGAAGTGTTGCTTGATGTGACTGAATATCTATAGATTGACCAGCGGAAAACGCCTCTCGTTGTGTTTTCCGCTAGAGAGGCGGCCTTAAAGCCCGGGGGCCTTAAAGCCCGGGGGCCTTAAAGCCCGGGGGCCTTAAAGCCCGGGGGCCTTAAAGCCCGGGGGCCTTAAAGCCCGGGGTCCTTAAAGCCCGGGGTCCTTAAAGCCCGGGGTCCTTAAAGCCCGGGGTCCTTAAAGCCCGGGGTCCTTAAAGCCCGGGGTCCTTAAAGCCCGGGGTCCTTAAAGCCCGGGGTCCTTAAAGCCCGGGGTCCTTAAAGCCCGGGGTCCTTAAAGCCCGGGGTCCTTAAAGCCCGGGGTCCTTAAAGCCCGGGGTCCTAAAGCCCGGGGTCCTTAAAGCCCGGGGTCCTTAAAGCCCGGGGTCCTTAAGCCCGGGTCCTTAGCCCGGGGTCCTTAAAGCCCGGGGTCCTTAAAGCCCGGGGTCCTTAAAGCCCGGGGTCCTTAAAGCCCGGGGTCCTTAAAGCCCGGGGTCCTTAAAGCCCGGGGTCCTTAAAGCCCGGGGTCCTTAAAGCCCGGGGTCCTTAAAGCCCGGGGTCCTTAAAGCCCGGGGTCCTTAAAGCCCGGGGTCCTTAAAGCCCGGGGTCCTTAAAGCCCGGGGTCCTTAAAGCCCGGGGTCCTTAAAGCCCGGGGTCCTTAAAGCCCTTTATGTCCCTTCAGACCCTTTACTTTCCTTCCGGAAAAGTTCAGAAAAAGCGCATAGTTTAAAGGAATTGTACAATAGAAAAAGAAAAGACGAGGTGAAAAGGAACGCTAAAAAGAAACAGGGAACAGCGGAAAACGCTTAGCTCGTTCGCGTTTTCCGCTAGAGAGGCAGCCCATTCGGGGTCCTTTAAGCCCTTTATGTCCATGCGGGCCCTTTACTTCCTTTCCAGACAAGTTCAGAAAAAGCTCATAGTTTAAAGGATCTGGGTACCATAGAAAAAGAAAAGACGAAGTGAAAAGGAACGCAAAAAAGAAACAGGGAACAGCATTGTTTTCGAAGCGACTTTGTAGCATAAAACTTTCTTTCAAATAACTAGGACTATTGTCACCCATGTTAAGCCTCGCCTCTTTTTAAAAATAAACCAAAAAGTCAGATTTCCCATAACCGAAAACCCGCGGGAGCAAAATATCGCGCTTAAAAGCTGAATAATTTGCCTTTTCACCGATAGAGCAAACGTAATTACAAAGCGTCGCGTCTGCGCACCGACAAATGAACAGACAAACGTCTCTTCTGCTTTATATAGTAAATAAGAAGAAAGTAAACGAACGCCTCATCCTTCATCTCGTGTTCATCCCCGAATTTGTGGTGTATTTGATCGACGGATTCCACTTGAACCGGTTGATTTGGAGGAGGATCATTGGCAAGTGATTGAGCTGGAAATGGCAATTTTGAAAATTTCGAATACCGATTACTCTAATATTAGGTTGTTCGGATATAAATAAGCGTTGCTAAACTTATTTTTTTGAGAGAAGCTTTTAAAATATGTCTTTATTTGTATTTTTTTAAAAGTACGTTATCTTGTGCATATTTGGAATCTTTTTAAAAGAATAATTTCTTATTTTTAAGATTTTTTTCTTGTTTTAGATGATCGACTTCAAACATCAAGTTCGCGTCTGCCTAGGATCATGAACACTCTCGTCTGCCTAGGATCATGAACACTCGCGTCTGCCTAGGATCATGAACACTCTCGTCTGCCTAGGATCATGAACACTCTCGTCTGCCTAGGATCATGAACATGTCAAACGAGCTTGCTCAACAGTTTCTATGTTCAAATTCTACTATTGATGAGCATCTCCATGTCATTGGAAAGACGATCAGATGCGGGAAATGGCTTCCTCACGAATTAAGCAGTGCAAACAAGGCTTCACGAGTCGCTATTGCCGGAATTCTCATCCACCACGCTAAAGATCATGACTTTTTGATCCTCTCGTTACTGGAGATGAGAAGTGGATCTATTTCGATAATACTATTCGAAAACGGCAATGGCTAGGACCAGGAGAACGGCCGAATCCGACCGTGGAACCGGACATTCATGAGCATCTCCATGTCATTGGAAAGACGATCTGATGCGGGAAATGGTTTCCTCATGAGTTAAGCAGTGCAAACGCTCGTTTAGATCCGAACAACCTAATAGAATGCCAGTCTAGTCGCGTAGTCTAACTTCATTTTAGAAGATCGTTTTTTCTCAGTGCCTAAATTTTCCCAACTATACTTTTGATACCAAAAAATACTAGATTTCAAGGGCTATCATTTCTACTAAACTATAGCCTAAAGCAGGAGAATGAGACGTTCAAAGTTAGACTACGCAACTGTACGCCTTTCATTAGAGTTCGATTAGAGTATTTACGGTGTTACTGTAGTAGTTTAAAAGTATAAAATATTTGGTTAACTAGAAATTTGAACAGGTATTTCAAATTCAATTCAATAAAAATAGGCTCAAAGTTAGTTTGACCTTAAAAAATTTGCATAAATATTAAGAAAAAACCCACCAAAAAGCGCACAGCTAACAACTAATAGCTGAAAAAGCATAAGAGTAAAATTATAGCCAAATTTGGGAAGAAGTTGAATTTATAAAAATGATAAGAAATCGGAAATCAATTGAGTGAAAGAGGAAAAGCTGAAAGGGAAAAGCTGAAATTGAAATGACGTGTCCTTTTGTGTAAGAAGAGAGAAAAAAAAGAGTGGCAGAAATGGGAGAGAGAAAAGAAGAGACCATGAATATATTGAGAGGGATGAATCGATTCGATTTTGATCGAATTCAAGAAAGAGACACGCAATTTCAGAACAGAAACCATTTAAGGGAAAGGAAAGGAACAGACGTGCCGTGCAGCTGGGAAAACAATGGAAAACAATGGAAAAGAGTGGATGATTTTGGGGAATCAGTGTTATTAGGCAAATAACACCTCAATGAAGCGTAAGGTCGAGGGTTCAATCCCTCTAGGGAAATCTTTTTCCTTTTTTTCATTTGAATTTTCGATGGAAAAGCCGGGATAGGAGAATGATCTCGACCAGAGTGTGTTGACAGTGTTGTTGACAGACAATTTGTCAGACAAATTTTCATTGACAACTTTTTTGTCAGACAATTGATCCGACAAGACTTCCGACGTTCCGACAACGCGTTTTCTTTTCTAAAAACGCTAAAAGCGACCTTTATAGCCTTTTAAGCAAAGCTATAAAAATTCGCGCGAAAAAATTTGTAAACTTTTCTTAAAATATAGTAATGAATAGTTTTATTTAAGGATTTCGATTTTTTAGGGCGTGGAGTTTTTTTTTGAATAATTCTAGTGCCAGTAAATGGAGACAATAGGCCTGGTAAATTCAAAGAAAATTTTTGTGTAAAATAGGTAAATGAACATTCAATCATGCGAAAACAATGAACTTTCACTTTCCAAATATTTGATTTTCGAAAAGTTTACTTTACTTCTGGTTATCATTCTTCTTTTTTCTTGATTTAATCATTGATTTCTTGAAAATTCTCACATTTTTCTACCATTTGCTTTCAATTTTTCGCATAATTAAACTCAATTTCAAAGATGATTTGCGAAATAGAAGTTATGGGACAAAAGTTGAATTGTAATTGACAAAAGAAAACATTGTTTGCCCACTAAAGCTTTGAAACATTTTGCTACAGTGCAAACTCGTGTTACTAAGGCTTAAAGTGAGCCCATTCGCCATGGTCGTTTCCCGTGCACTTCCGCGTAGAGTGTGCTCCTTGTTGACAGACAATTTGTCAGACAAATTTTCATTGACAACTTTTTTGTCAGACAATTGATCCGACAAGACTTCCGACAAACTTCCGACAAACTTCCGACAACGCGTTTTCTAAAAGGTGCGCTTTTTAAGCAAAGCTATAAAGGTCGCGCAAAAAAAATTTGCAAACTTTTCTTAAAATATAGTAATGAATAGTTTTATTTAAGGATTTCGATTTTTTTAGGGCGTGGAATTTTTTTTTGGAATGGTTCTAGTGCAAATGTAGACAATAGGCCTGGTAAATTCGTAAATAATATAATTTTTTTTAATAGTGTTTATTAACTTTTCCCGTTTTAAATGTTTTCTTTAATTTTAAATAGCATTTAAAAAATTTTAAGTTTTAGCGAAAAAGTAATAGAGTTAAGGAAAGAGTAATAGAAAAAAAAGAGTGCAAGATTTTAATGTACATTTGCATTTTGAAAAATTTGCTCATGCAAAGCATAGGGTTACGGTAGCTTATCCTTGGCGCGCGCTTTTTAGAAAACGCGTTGTCTGCAAGGAACACACTCTAATCTCGACATTTGGTGAATAAAATGAATAGCTCCAATCGAGCTCCAATCGATTCCCCGACCTTGAAAACCCCCAAATACAAATTTAGAGCTAAATCTCTTCTTTTTGACTACGCTCGAGTCTGATCCGTTTCGAGTTAGGGCTAGCAAACACTATAACTTTCTTTAGCATTTCTATTTTTCGGTGTGCTTTAGTCCATTCGAAAGCTCTTGATATTCTCTATTTGCTAAGCCATAAATCATTTCAATTCAACAGATTTGAAGGAAGTTAAAAGCATTTATAGTGTGAGAGTTCATCATTTTTTGTATTTGATAGTACCCATGTCTAGACGGAGCGATGAGCGACCGAGCAGCTTTCGCCGTTTTGAGTTTTTCGCTTTAAGTCTAAACCGAAATTTTTTGGGAGCAATTTTTACCTTAAATTTAACTGTATTTTTGCTACAAATTCTTCCTTTTAAACTAAAAATAGTTAAATCCTGTCAACAAGTCTCTCCAGTCAATGCTTTGTTCGCCCGATTACAAGCACTGATAGCATAAGCACGGATTGCATAAGCACTGATTGCATAAGCACTGATAGCATAAGCACTGATTGCATAAGCACTGATTGCACAAGCCCTGATAGCATAAGCACTGACTGCATAAGCACTGATTGCACAAGCACTGATTGCATAAGCACGGATTGCACAAGCACTGATTGCATAAGCACTGATTGCACAAGCAAAGTGGAATTAACTTGTAGATCAAAACATCGGTCTAATAACATCTTTGTATAAAATTTAATCGAATCAACCGATAATTCGTAGTAATACTAGTAAGCTGTAGGACTTGATAGAGTACTCAACTCAAGCTCAAACTCACTTAAACTCGATTTGACGGGACGGTTTCCATTCTAGTGACGAATTGTAAGTAAACTCCAGGAAATATTGCCCAGCAAGCAATCGACTTTTTGCAAGTTCGCCAAAAACGTCTCGATTTGTGAGAGATCCAAATCAACAACAACACTTGATCAATCACATAATTGATAACAGATTGTCTCTTTCTGGGATAGCAAAGCCCCTATTTTTTACCTTTTTGTCCGAAAATTCTTGGAAAAATGAATTTTTTAGGAAAATTTTCGGAAAAGTTGATTATTGTCATTGAGCCAGTATTTTCTGTTGCAATTTTTCTGACTTTCTGACTGTGGTAGCCACTCTGTGATCCGTATCGTCCATCTGTCGTCTGTTCTTCTGGCTACGTGGCCGGCCCATCTGAGTCTTTTTCTCTCGATCACTTCCACTGGATCTCTGAGTCCCGAAAGCTGGCGCATATCCGTACTCTATCGATACTTTAATCTATATTTTATCTTATAGAATTCTTCTAGAAATCTTCTAGAAATCTTATAGAATTCTTATAGATATCTTTTAGAATTCTTATAGAAATCTTATAGAATTCTTATAGATATCTTCTAGAAATCTTCTAGAAATCTTTTAGAATTCTTATAGAAATCTTATACAATTCTTATAGATATCTTATAGATATCTTTTAGAAATCTTCTAGAAATCTTTTAGAATTCTTATAGAATTCTTATAGAATTCTTATAGAAATCTTTTAGAATTCTTATAGAATTCTTATACAATTCTTATAGATATCTTATAGATATCTTTTAGAAATCTTCTAGAAATCTTTTAGAATTCTTATAGAATTCTTATAGAATTCTTATAGAATTCTTATAGATATCTTTTAGAAATCTTCTAGAAATCTTTTAGAATTCTTATAGAATTCTTATAGAATTCTTATAGAATTCTTATAGATATCTTTTAGAAATCTTCTAGAAATCTTTTAGAATTCTTATAGAATTCTTATAGAATTCTTATAGAATTCTTATAGATATCTTTTAGAAATCTTATAGAAACCTTCATCAAGAACCGACCCTAAGGTGCGGTTCCCATTTAAAGAATTTTCTGCATCTAAAAGCTTTTTTCTTTAGTTAAGCTACAAAATTCTGAATCGTTGAGTGTTTTTGCATCTACTAGAACTCTTAAAAGATCTAGAAAAATCCCGGGGGTTTTAAATTTTGAATCAAAACCTATTCAACAAAAGTTCAAAGGGAAATTTGAGAGGATTACGCGTGTGCATTTTTTGTTTCTCTTCACTCTATGTTTGATATAATATTTTTTTCAACTCTAGGGATCAATTTTTGTTCGCCTCACAAAATACTCACCGTTGTTTCATGTTCTTTTTCGAAAACCAGAGAATTTACGAGTTTTTGATTTAAATTACAAATGGTACTCATATTAAATTACAAATGGCACTCATATGCTTAATATAATGCTTAACAACTTTTTCTCTTTAGTTTTCTTTAGTTAAGCTACAAAATTCTTAATTGTTGATTGCTTTTGATCAAAATTTTAGTCTCTTTTTGAGCTTGCTTACGTTTTTATGTCTTTTTTTCATTTTGATCATCAAATCTCAATCAATTCTCGATCTTTTTATATCAAAAACGTCCTAGTTCGCTAAACAGGTGTCGATTTTTGGCAATTCTTGATCTCTTAGTTCATTTTAAACATTCAATAATGCAATTCTTGATCTCTAGTTCATTTTAAACATTCAATAATGCAATTCTTGTTCTCTAGTTCATTTTAAACATTCAATAAGTTTAGATTTATAGAAAAAAATGGGTTTCCGACCGCAACGAGTCGCTTCATGGTTTCGAAATTCGGATAATTTGTTGCTCGTGCTTACGCTGGCCAGTGTCTCTTTTGGGGTGATCGTTGGTGGATTGTTGAGGTGAAAACATTCAAAAATTTTCCCATAAGCCTTTGAATCAATTGAAAGTGCTTTGATTTTGTCAATTAAACACGGATCAAACTCTGGAAAGCAATTCCAGGTATGCTGAGCTAAACCAGGGCACAATCAGATACATCGGCTACCCGGGAGAACTCTTTATGAATATGTTGAAGTGTATGATTCTCCCGCTCGTTGTCAGCAGCTTGATATCGGGTGAGGTTCTCAGAACTTAGAACAGGCTGGTTTACAGTAAAGTAAGAGGTGAGATACCCATGAGCAAGACAACATCACTTTGTGCCCATGATAATCCGGCTTTGGGATTGGAATTGACATTTGACCCTTGCTGAGCCATTGTTTTTTTCGAGAAGTGTTATCGAAGTGAATCCACTTCTCATCCATCGTCAAGATATTCTCAAAAAGCTGGCTTCTTTTCGACTTGAGATCTGACTGATCGACAAGATCTGACTGATCGACAAGATCTGACTGATCGACAAGATCTGACTGATCGACAAGATCTGACTGATCGACAAGATCTGACTGATCGACAAGATCTGACTGATCGACAAGATCTGACTGATCGACAAGATCTGACTGATCGACAAGATCTGACTGATCGACAAGATCTGACTGATCGAAAGGCGTGCTTCCAGCTTCTGCTCAATTCATGTGAAACCCATCGCCCATTACCACTAATCTTTCCGATTATTTTCAAATGGCGAACAATTGTTGATTGATCACATTAGAGCTATTTGAAAAGCTCTCGTGTTCTTTGCATTGAATCGGCTTCAATAAGTTGTTCCAATTCTTTTGCATCAATCTGGTACATCAAAACTTGGAACATGCTGGGTTACGGTAAAGTAGGACATGATTTAGAGTGATTATTCGTTGAAAAGGCCTCCTTAAACACCAACTCTTTTAGGACTAGCTCAATTGGATGGAAAAACTTCGGGAAAAGTCGGCTCTAGAGCGATCATGTACTATGCACTGACAACAACGCATGCTGTCATTGTAAGAGCTTTTGATTTTGGAAAGAAAAATTGAATTTTATAGCTTGGTATCATTCTTGTTCTGTTGATTCATCCAGGAAATCCGGATTTAAAAGTAAAACATGAGGCAAGCGAGGAAACGAAAGTAAAGCGAGTCAAAGCTGAGGACAAATTCTTGGATTTGATCAGGTTGGGTAAAAGTTTCTGAATTAAAAAGCAATTTTTAGATCTTTAGATATTTAGATATATAATATTCAGTTAATAAAAAGTAATATTTAGAAATATGTTTCCCGAGAACATTGTACGGGCAACTTTTGAGCAACAGGAGACAATTTATACGGGAAATGGGACGAATGAGAAAGCGGTCATTCAATATTCACCGGGGATAAACATATTGGGTGAGTGAGTATTGTGAATTATATTAGTTATCAGAGGTTAAAAGAGTGCAAGTTGTGAAAAACCGATTCAAAAGTCTGCTAGAGTCGGGAGAAATCGAAAAATTGACGAACTTGGATAAAGTATGGCTCCATTTCTAGTCTGACCGGACAAATTTGCCCTAAGGTAGAGAGACTTGTCATTTTGAAATCTCAAGTT